CTACTACTACTGCTGCTGCTGCTACTACTACTACTACTACTACTACTACTATTACTCTTGTTATTACTATTGTTATGGAACACGAGGTAAATACTTTTTGCAAAATTTAGATAGGACTAGCGAAAGAATATTTTCATTTACGCCACGAGTATGCTGTTTACATAAGTGGTATCATTTTTAATAGTAATCTTACAAGGAATTACTAATTTTAGGACAGCGTTATACAATACATTCCTATTTAACTTGGAATTATTCAGATAGAATTAATCTTCTCTTTTATTTCTTTTTCTNAATATGTATATAGTGTGTGTGTGTGTGTGTGTGTGTGTGTGTGTAATATATATATATACAAAACCACGTTTGGCTATGAAGGTCAAAGCGACATTTAAATTGACAAACGTTATTTTTTTCAATATTTATCTCTTTTCTTCTGTTTGATATTTTATATACACTGAGGATCATTTGTATATCATCAAAAATAAAACTTGAGATGATCGTTGATCTTATTGTATATAATATGTACAATTTCACAGATATACTTTTGTGTAAGTATACACGAAAGTAATTACTGAGAAGTTATCATTCGCACGATCTCTCTGTGGTCAAACTGTCGTTGAACAGTGAAGAAAGTAATAGACCTCGTCGTACGTTTTGTACTACTATCAAACGATTTTTCTAATCTACCGAAAACTCTTTGATAATATTGATCAGCTTCGCGTAAATACTTGTAAATAAGCAGGTAGCAAAAATTCAAACGATACCAATCAGTTGGCCAATTCGATCCAGTTACCCAATTAAAATGTATTTCAACCGTGATCCGTTCCGGATCCCGAATTCTATTCCGCATAATAATAATAATAATAATAATAATAATAATAATAATAATAACTTCGCAGTTCACATATCCATTATTCTCATGCATCGTCAAAGTTATCAACATCCTCGATTATTTCAAACTCGCTACCACTTTCGTCGCTGTGGCTGATAGTAAGTAATTTCCTTGACACAGGATCGAGTTCTACCTCCTCCTCCTCCGAAGATGAACCTTTCTCGAAATGGCCACTTTGGAACTTGATACCGTCCACATCGGTCTCTTCGGCACTGAGCTCTAACTCGGAAACTTCTACGCCGTCGGTACTTCCATCTTCGTGAGACGGCATTTTAAGACCCACGAGTTCCTCTTCCTCGAAAAATTCTGTGACAAAACAAACTATCAATAGTCCTAGTCAATAATCAAACGATCAATAATAATAATTGTGACAATAATGATGATCGGATGTTGGAAACTGTTGCGACAGACTATACCATTTTGAACGTCGGACAACACGCTCGTAGGTGTCGGAGACTGATCGCCCGACTCTCCCGCTCTTGTAAGAACTTGAAGATTGTCCTCTGTCACAGCTGGTAAAAATTCTTCGATCTCGTTGTCCCAGTCTGCAGAATAATTATAGACGCGCAATAATTATCATGCCTCGTCGTCGTTTGCCTCTCGATCCTTCCGATCACCATCCCGATCTACCCGGCGATGACTGACGATGATGAGACAAACAGCTTACCTTTATGCAGTATCATTTTGCCGGTAGATAGTTTCAATAACAAACCAGGTCCGATCAAAATGCTCATGCATATCGTGTATGCGAGAAGCACACCGTTCATCGTACGGCCAATGATCCATAGGCCCAAAGAGAGGGAGCACACTGCAGTACAAAACTGAAATCATCATAATAATCATTTAAAATCATTTAAAACATCATTATACGATACATCATATAAGATACTGAATATATCTTAATCAGCAGTAACACTTTACCACTCCAGGTTGCTCTTTCCTCAACTGCTTTAAACTGCGAACCGCTAACTTTATTCTCCTTCCTATCTTCTCAAATTGCTCCACCTTCGCGCTCGATCTACAAGTATTTTATACGCATATATAAATACATATGTGGTGGATAGACGTTCAAACAGAATCGATCAGTTCTCAAATTGTCGACTCACATGCCCGAGGGTTTGATCTCTTTTTCGGCTTGAGCTTCGAAGGTACTGTAACAGAGAACGATGACCAGTGCAGCACTGCTGGCTGCAGCGAAGCCACGAACCTCCAGTACAACGATACCCCTGAAAGAGACGGGAATGAAATCGGGAATATACAAATTATTACAAATTATCTGAACGTTCGCTTCCGCCGTCGCTGCCGCGTAACGCGATCGCGAATCTTCGAATCGCGCGTGGCTTTTTAATTATCGCAACTGTGTGTATCGTGCTGGTGGTGGTGGTGGTGGTGGTCGTGCTGGCTGTGTACTGCCATCTGGAACGCGTGTTATTAATACGAATAAAATACGGTGGGGAAAAATGAAAATACGCAGAGAAGATGCAATTCATTCGGCAGACGCGGCGGCGATAAGAATGAGAAATACGCGAATTTACGATCAAGGCAATCCATCGACAACTGCTCGGTGTCGACTTACGTTCTCACAATGCGTGTGCGTGTAAATATAACGTCATGTCATGCGATCGTACACTTATCGCGAAGAAACACGTTGCAGCACGACGGAACGATGCGATTCATACTATTATTTACAATGAACATTGAATACCGAAACGCACACGCGTTTTCCAAACCTTGACCCAGAAACTCTTGGTTGTTCGTTTCTTTATTTGTAAAACCTCACCACGAGGCAATTGGACTTTTCACATACGTCAGTTCGAAAGTCGAATCGTGCCAAGTATTGTGTTAAAAAGAATATCGGATAGCGTGGTGTACTGTAAGTATACCTACCGTTCATTCGCTACTGCGTGCAACAATTTGAACCACCTGAATACTTATTCGCTGCACGACGATGAACGAGCGAGCGAGCGAGCGAACGAACGAACGAACGAACGAACGAACACAAGACGAATTTTGCGAAATCACACATAGAACGGTGCAACGTACTAGGTGACGCATTCTCGGTTGCAAGCTGAACTCACCAAAACAGTATGTTGAACACGATGACGACGGAGATACTGTTCACTGAATTCTCCCACAGGAGAATGCTCTCCAGAATCCCGCAAAGTCGTCTCGAAGCCTCGGAATTGCATCCGACGACGTTCCGATACCGTTCAACCTGAATGGTTTTCCGCTCGTCGTCATCCTCGGCGGCGGCAGCGGCGGCGGCGGCGGCGGCCACTTTGTTCGCGTCACGAGGAGGTGTCGCGTTTCTCATCCATCGAAAATAACACGCCACTCTCGACAGCCGTTCCATGACAGTTCCAGATCGACGTTCACTGCTTTTCCCGTTCTAATTCTCGTACTTCTTTGGCATGGTACACCCTCGGAAGACTGTGCGAGAGTATTTTTAGCGCGTGACAACGAGAGTAAGACTTTTGAGAACGAACGAACGACCGACCGATCGCGGGGGTTCCTTCTGCTTTTGCTTTGCCCCGAAGAACCAAGCGAGAGAGGGAGAGGGAGAGGGAGAGGCAGAGGGAGAGGGAAAGGGAGAGAGAGCGTGAGAGTGAGCGAGACAGAGACAGAGAGAGAGAGAAAGGAAGGTCAGAACGGAAGACGGAGCGAGCGACGAGTATGGAAAGGAAAATAGGCAAACGGAGAAAGACGGAACGAATGCATATACAGTAGAAAACGAAAGCACAGCCTAAAGGCTAGGTGCGAGAATGTGTGATGTGTGTGTGTGTGTGTGTGTGTGTGTGTGTGTGTATGTATGTGTGACACCGACGAACAGCGAACGAACGGAGAACGGTAGGTGAACGAGAAACAATAATGAGATAAGCGGAGAAAAAGCAAAGCGAGGGAGAAGGGAACGTCAGCAGGGGGTGGCCGAACCGGGTGTGCATCCACTCCACTCTTCTTGTACCTTCGCGATCTAGTCACGAATTTCCCGCAAGTAGTATATCTGCTTCTGATTTTCGCGCGCGCGCGCGCGCGCTTCTTTCGTCTTTGCCTCTTTTTTCGTGTAAACACTGTCGTCTAGTAGTAGTCGATACGATTCATCTAACGTTTGCGCCTGTTACGTCTGTTATCGCACTACTGACGTACGTACGTAGGTAGCGTTATTCCTACTACCTTCACCTACTACTGCAAACAACACGTGACCAACCGGACTGCTGGCTAGCTGCTGCGAGTGCTGCGACACGGGACGTTGCATGCAACGTGCAATGGAACTGTGAAAATTTTACGATTTCCCTGATGCCGATATTTAATTCACGATAATGACGAACAATCTGCGACATTCGACGATACAGAAATGACACGTTTTGTACGTGCGAGAACGAAAACGAACCGAATTAATCACCCGCTCGTATCACCAGAATCGAACATTCTATTTTCTATTTTACACATCGGTCCGTACGCGTATATTATATCATTATCGTTTGTCCGCTGCAAACCAGCATGAATCAGACCGAACCTTTCGATTCATGTATTTTAAATGAGATATACTTAAAAGCCTCAGCGTTTCGTTGTCGTTACGAGATTGCGAAATTTCCTACGTCTCTTTAAACCCCGATTGCTCAACTGTTTTGTTCGCCTCAGCGAATCGTTGATTTAAGCATAAGCAAAGTTATTATTTCGTTACAAATTCGTTCAAACGTTTCCGCTCGTCGCGATCGGTGTGTCAGCACTTTTCACGGTTGTCGTCGTGTTATTAAAAAGAAATATTATTAGCATATTTATAGTCGCAAGTGCATACATGTCTCTCGTTTCTAGCCAAGAAATTATTCGAAGAATTTGCAAATGGACAAGGAAACGGTTAAACGGCATGGTCGTACGATCATGCATGTATACAGTCACGCGTACTTGTTTTTCCTCCTTTCGCGTTAGTACGTAGTACGTATTTACGCACGTTGAAATACTTGATCGACTGTCAACGACTGTTGGTTAATGACATGTTTATTCCACATCTGCCGCTCGTCGCGTACTATACTCGTCGTCGTCGTCGTCGTCGTCACGTATGTACACACGTACGGTTACCCAATTACGTGTTACCTTCGATACCGGCACGACTACTCCACCACTGTACACTCGTTTATATACAAATGTGTGAATTCAAAAATGCACTTTATTGTTATGCACAATTTCTTTGTTTTATACATTGGCACGTCTAAAGATACGTATAAATGAGAATAAAGCGCTCCAGATTCGTCTACTGTCGTCAGCATAATATTGTAACAATTGCGGCAACGTATTAATTAAGGCATTAGTTCTTGAACGCATTTAAAATATTCATTTTCGTTCGTTCGTTCAACGACTAACCTCCAACGACCTAACTCCTTCGTCCGTCGAGCTTCTGATGATTATTATAACTATCGTAAAGAACCCGCGTTGCAGTCGAATGCTACATTAATTTTAGAAATGCAGCATTTCCATCGCTTTTAACGGCAAAATGATTTATATCTATATTACACACTATACGCATCTTGCTAGTTTTTACAACATTTATTATACAATTTTCTATATGCATTTTGACACTATTCGGATTATTTATAAAAAAAAACCATCAAAATCGTGTAGACACTCGGCAGAGTCTAAAACGAAACGAGGATTTATCAAAATCAGCGGCTATAAAAAACATTTGAAATCGTGTAAAATCTGTGCGCGTCGTGGTACACTCACATAGTTTATTCTATATATAATTAATATATAAATATAAAAGCAGATCCTCGATTCCGTGTCAACCGTTGTTGTTGGTGGTACATTCATGTTCGAAACGTTCGAACGGATCGGTCGATCTAAAGTTTGAAAGTTTAAAATATTTTCATCGTAAGACGGAAGGCACCTTCGAATAAATGTCACGGTACGATCACCGTAAGTTTTGACCGCTTCACCAGCATTATTTTCACGCAGATGTTCGATTAGTAATTTGCAATTTTTCATCGTACAACACACCGTGTACAGTGCATAATTTACACCTACACGCATACACACGCATTCATACATAGCAGTCTAATAGTAAGTTATTTTATATGGCAGTATCGCGCGATATCTTACTTAATTAATAATTCGAACAAATTTCGCGAGATTACATTAGATACCGTTAAATACTTGTCTAAGTTACTGCGTTAACAACTAAAACTTCGTTCGCTGGACATTTATGATTTTTCTTTTTTACCATGTAAATATTAACTGATCAAAAGTGTGTGTGTGTGTGTGTGTGTGTGTGTGTGTGTGTGCGTGCGTAAACACAATTTACTGCGATGAGATGATTCCCTCTTTCCGAACGGAGATTTCCATCGTCGTTCCTCTCATTTTCCGGCGTACGTTGGATTTTTAAACGTCGAGGTCGCTTGTTTATAAATCGGATTCTCTCCCTTAAAGTGATGGAAAACGAAAAAAAGAAGGAATTTAATATTTTGTGGGTGTCGCGTACGTGTGCAGACGCGAAAGACGGTCGCGGAGATCATTCTTACCGTGTCCCATTTGGCCATCATTCTCTCTTTCTCGAATCTCGCGAACTCTCTCCTGTCGTGTATGGTCGTCAATAATTTCCATAAAAGTAACAATGCGAGGCCGATCAAAACGATGGCTGCTATCACGCCCAACACTATACCGAGCATGTACACTTGCGGCGGACATTCCCTCTCCTTCTGAGCCCGGACTTGGAGGCAATTCGTTTCGTTGTAATAGTAAACAAAATTATACTTGCAATCGTCTTCGTCTATACCGAAGCACAGGACCTCGTCCTCGTCGACGTCCTGTATAACCGTATCGACCGGTTCGGGAACGAATTCTCTACAATTTCTCGCGCACTCCTCTTTATCACTAAAATTCCCGGTACCGTACATCTGGCAGAGCACGCAGTTCTTCAGTTCTTCGCAGCGGCTCGGGCAGGTCGGACACTTGTTGCAGTGCTTGCCGGAATACCTGACGTTCCCTTCCTCGTGACAAGTGCATTCGCCGCAGATACAGTCTCCCTAAACGATAAAAAAAATCTCAAGTAATAGACAAGCGGAACGACGATAATAGCGACGATCGTAGCAGCGTAGCTTTTTTCTGTGTATCAACAATCCGGAGGAGAGCCTTACGTGTCCCGAACACAACACTCCGTTCGTAGTTCCTGGCGCGATGCAAGTCTCGTTGGAGGATCGGCAGTTGCACGATGGACCGGTCCAACCCGCGTTGCAAACGCACTGGCCACATTCGCACGTTCCATGATTCGAGCACAAACGACCTTGATCTCGATCGCAAGAGAAATTGTCGCACTCGCAAAAGTGGCCCGATATTATCTGCGTTCAATTAATTTCGTTGTCGATCATTCGTTTCGCGTCACACGGCCGCCGCACGCGGCCAACGCTTATTTACCTCCTCGGGATTTTCTCTCTCCTCGCATTCGCACTGACCGCAAGCGCAAGTGCCCCTTCCCGAACAGTCTACGAGCGAGACGTTGTCAGGCCTGCAAGATTGGAAATTTTTGTCGAACCCTGCCATTTCCTGATGAGGGCTGCACTCGCAACGTTTTCCAAAGAATCCATCGTAACATTCGCAAACGCCACATTTCAGAGTTCCCACACCGTTGCATTCCGCCGATTTTGGCTCGTACATAATACCCTCCCGTTCGCATTCACAATCGCACAACATCTTCAAGTTCACAGTGAGCGTCTCGTTTATACCGACCTGAAACAAGGAATGTCCGAGTAATTTTCTTTCGTCGAGCACCACCACCACCACCACCACCTGTACGCATAGATACATATACGTAGGAGACTACGTTTCGTTCTTCCATACCGGGTAAATATCGAATCTTTGTGTCCATTCGGACCTGTTCTCCGGACAGCTGGTCACTTCGATCTCCGCGGTGAATTCCACTTTCGTTCCAACTTTCAGCCCATCGCATTTCGAAGTTTCGATCAGTGGTCCGGTACCCAAACATTTCGAGAAATACTTGACTTTCACAGCGCTGCTGGCCGTATCTTTCATCTCGACCGAACTGGAAATCGCGTCGTACTGTTCACGAATCAGTTCGACTACGTTACTCGAGTCATCGGACAATTTTCCGGCGAACGATCCTTCCACGTGTTTGGTCAACCTTTTGTACACGTTTATCTGTTCCTCGGTGACGGCCCATATAACGTTGATGGCGTTTTGCTTCACCTTTAAATTGATCTGAGAGATACTCGGATAATCTTGTAGAGACGAATGCGTGTAAAGTCCGGTGGTGTCCAGGTGACACTCGCCGTCGTTCGGTTTCACGATTCCACCCAATTTACCATCGCCCGCATAATGAAAACCGGCGTCCGTAGAAAACACCAAGAGTCGGCGAGCCTTCTCGCGCCAACCTATCTCTCGTCTGCAGACTATAGCTTGCATTATCGCGTCGAATCCTCCCTCCGGTGCGTCCAAGTTACCGGACACCGATGCATTCCGTACCAGGCTCTGTGGGAAACGGGAGTCGAGTTAACGCGCGCGCGCGCGCTCGTCCGGCTCGTACCGTATCGATAAAACGCTCTCTTCTTACCGCGAAATGACTAGTATCTTGAGACAGTCTCATGATGTTCTTGTAACCGTACGGTGCTGCACATCCGTCGCACGGTTCTATCAACCTGAACCAGAAAAACGTATCTGCACTTAATAGGTCACACAACTTGCACAACGAAAACCAGTATTACACGACGACCACGACGATGAACGCGAAAATGACCGCGAATTTATCGTGTGAAACTTACGATTTAGGCATTGTATTGACATACGGCATTACGACTTTGTCGACGAAGCTGCCGAAACCCAGCCGAAAATTAGTCGTAATTTTACTCATACTTTCTACCAGAAGTTGACCCAGATCCGACAGTTTCTTCTTATCGTCCTCCATCGATTTACTCAGATCCATAAGGTAATACAAATCGACGGGATAATCTTCGGCTTGCGAGTACGCAAAAGTCATTCTATGCGCTTCATCTGAAATTAATTTGCAATCGAGTCGTAGACCGAGTAGCTAAAACGTTCACTGACCATGGTGTAGACTCACTTATCCTGAGTTTCAAATTTACTTCTTGGGGCCAAATTTGTACAGCCTCTTGCCTTCGTCCACTGCTGCTGCTGCTGCTGCTGCTGCTGCTGCTAGTACTGTGCGATTGTGAAGTGGCACTGTAATTCGTGGAGGAATACTCGTAACCAGTAATACCACCACCGCTTGCATAGCCACCTTTTGTTAAATTTCTATGTCTTATCATACTGAAAACATTATCTGGATTCCACGTATGTTCCGTTGGACAAGTTGCAAATATTTTGGTATTGATGTTTGGTAAAAAGCACCGTTTCTCAGAGAATTTCTGTCAACCAACGAAAGCAATACAGTCTTTTAACAGAATAATTTATAACTATAGGCGCAACTACACGTGAAAACTTACTGGTGCCGCGCACCAAGCGCAGTGCGGCGTTTGTACGCATTCATGACACGTTTGCTTGCTGATGCAAGGATTCATTCCGGTCAATCTCTCTGGAGGTGAATAGTTTCCTGTTACGAACGATGTAACTATTGCTATTATAACGATCCATCTCAAGCTGCCGAACGTTCTACCCATTCTACAAAAATATGTATTAACAATGAATTATGTTGGTGATCGATCGAACGTTGTTAAACGTATCGGTATACAGAGTAGACGCGTCAAAGGGAAATTCTTTATGCTTTTCAGATAATTTTAATCGAGCTCTTAGACTCTGAGTCTGAATCTCAGCCGGCAAAGAAAAACGATGATATCATGATGAATAATATCTTTCCTGTAACTGTCGATTCGTCAGATTCTTAAAATATGCCTGATGAACCATTCCTCATGTTCTTCGAACAAGTGTTACTATGTGTGAACGTAAAATGATGCCTGAAGTGGTAACAGATGTGTACTTACGTTTAATATTTAAAACTAGGGCGTACTGGGGCAGGCTCAGTTATAAATATAGAGAGTAGAACTTTAATACTTGGCAGAGCAGCACCTCGTCACGGATAAACACGATTCCGTTCAACCTGTTTTCTCAATTTGAACTTGTGTGGTGGCCAGGTGATAGTTCGGCAACGGCAGAAACAAGTCTCAAGTTACAGATATGTGATTTCTCAGCACACTTATCTGTGCTTACGAATGATTCGCGTCGATCTACGACTTTTCTACCATCTTTTCACGTATACTTTCGACGTGGTACCTGAGTGTCACGTACAACAAGATTACTCGCGACATAAAACGGGCCGCTTATTCATTCACAGGGATGCCGTCATCTTTATATTTACAAAGTACCAAACGCTACCAGTCGCTCGCATATAATTGATGAAATACATCGATGATGGAAGAAAACAAGCTGAATGAAAAATTCTCAATGCTTACTTTCTCGTCAGAAGATCTCCGTCTTCGATCTGTCGTTAGAACATTACAAGTTTAACCAATGTTTTCTTGCTACTCGAATCACCATTGATCACCATAAAAGGTAACCCATCAAATGCACGCACGCTACAAGCACAAGCGCTACAAGCACAAGCGCTACAAGCCACTACAGTCTACAGTCAGCCACGTCCGACCCAACCCCAACTGAACAGAGAAAACTATATAAATATCTTAGAAGTGTCCCGTCGCGCGCGCGCGCGAGCGCGTATTACATGTATGGCTGTGTTTATCCATGTACAGCTAGTAACAATGAAACTGCGTCAGTTCGGGCTTGAGTTAGTTTCCCCTAGGGGGTCGAAATTCAAAACGAGTAATAAGTCTACAGATCTTGCTTTTTCGATGCTCAATCTGCATCGGCATCATTGACTGCTGTCAGCTGTGCCGCCGTGCCATCACTGTCGCCAACTGTGTTTAATTTGGTTTCATTATCGGTGATCGTGCCTGACTGTGCCGAACCGCGTACCTGCGACCTGCGACCAGCGTTACCAGATTTTTACCCACGACGCTCGCTTCCCCTGTTTTTCGCCCGTATTTCGATCCCCACTACTATTCCCCTCATGCGTGCTCATGCACGTTCGCGAAGCTCTCCGCAGCGTTATGGTCCCCACCATGGTCGCGTCGTCCCCACTTTGCGGCCTTGGGTAAAAATCTGGTAACGCTGCCTGCGACCTGCTGCGTCTACAACGTCATCTTCGTCATTACCTTTCGTACGGTGTGTCGTATCTGCTTACAGAAAAATGCAGATATCCGAGCCTTCGGCTTTATTTTGTATGTAGTAGTACTTATCGTCGTTCAGATCAATCTAATTTCCCTTTTCGTTTCTGTTAGGTGGATGTTATAATTGTCTTCTTACGTCGCGTTCCGTGCTCAAGCTACAACCGTGACCAAGTACTGTGTGGGTATGTACGTACATCTTGCGGATTAGTTTACTGGTCAGACAGACTACTTCGTCGTCGTCGTCGTCGTGCATCGTCTGATCTGATCTGATCTGATCTGATCTGATCTGATCTGGATTGAATTTTACACGGATGGCGTCCGCTGTCTGATATTGAACAACTTTCAATCGAAAGATGCTGAAATGAATGGTTTGCTCGTCTGGGAACGATCTGCTCTGGTTACCGTCGATGACGAATGGTACGATTCTTCGCTTTTTTCCAGGTTCAGTCGACAATTGATCAAACAACGAATTCTGCTGATCATTGAAAACGCGCTCTTCCGTTGGAGCGATTTCATTAACGCGTATCCGTAGCTATCATGGACGCGTTTTGTGCACGAAGCTACGAAGCAAAGATCGAAACTTTCGACGCGTGTACGATCGATGCTGAGAACGCACGAAGGGAAGTGTCCGAGGGGTGTGAAACGACGGTAGGCGAGGGTGAAAGGTCATCGCCACGAACGGCTCATTCAATGACGGTGGCGGCGGCATTTCGAGAGGAGACCCGACGCATCGACGGAACATCCGATACGGATCCGCGAGGAGAGGAATCCGCGACGGTGGAACAGCGACGACGTCAGCACGATCATCGAAACGATCCTGCCTCGCGGATACCATCATCGAATGCTCGTCGGAGCATGACCCCCATTCGATTGCCAGCCATACTGGACGGTGAATTCTTTACGGTGATTAGAGTGGAAGATAGCAACGTCACGGTACGATGTTCACAGTGTCAGAAGCATCTGAACGGCAACTTGAAGTCCACTGGAAATTTTTTGAGTCATATCAGAGTAAGATTCATTTGTATCGTCTTCGTCGTCGTCGTCGTTCTGAAAGATCTATTCGCCTTCGTCGAGAATATACTCTACTCGCGATACGTTTCGCTACGTTGCGTTACCTGTGTGCATTCACGTGTGTCCGCAGAGGGTGCATCCGTTCATGGTCGATAAGATTAAATGTAAATCGAATCAGAGGAAACCTGCGATGATATACATCGACTTATCGACGGACGACTGCCCGGAAATTGTCAGAACGAAGAGAGGATACAGGAAGTGTTACGGAACGGTGAGTATACATATGGTGGGATCGCAGTCGAGGGACAGCTTCGAAGATCGACAAAAAATGATTAATGACGATTTACGCGGTTGCGTTCACGCTCGCGTTGATAGGAGGAGTGGCAACCGGGAAACGAGGAAGTCAGCGAGCGGTCCAACGAATGGTCCGACGGTTCGTTCGCTGTCCGGAGACGCAAGTTGGACGAAACAGAATGTTCCGATCTATTAAAAATGTCTCATAACGATTCGTTCGTAGTGGAGGACGAGTTCGACGCGATTGGACGCAACGTTGCCGCGAAACTGAGAAATATGAGACTGGACCAAAGAATAATAGCGGAAAAATTATTGAATGACATTTTGTTCGAGGCGCAATTGGGAAATCTTCATAGAGATTCCAACATACACGTGTGAGAGAGAGGGGAGAGGAGCGTCATGTCGACACTGTCCTGAATCTCCACTGAACGGTTCCACGGTGTGCGTAAAGTGCGCGTTCGCCTTGTCACCGAGGTCGCCAACGACCGCGACTCTGACAAAATCTAACATGTGATATACTTGTTCTTATTGTCAGTCGCAAAATTAGATATATTTTTCTGCTTACTTTCCGTCGGATTCTCGCGACAAAGTATACGGATCGCGCAGGAACCGACCAAGAAATATTTAAATTGAAAAATATGAAAATGTACAGTGGAGAAAGAGGGAAAAATAAGCGATTTTAATCCCACTTTTCAGGGAGTAAAGTGGCTTTTTCAGTTCAGCCGCGAATAAAATGATGTAAATCATATTTTGTACGAGGCTGTTTTCATATGCACGTGTGTGCGACGAGACGATAAGTACTGATCTCGTGCGTGGTTCGATCGTGTACGGTAGATGCGGTACGTGGAATAAATATTATTCCTATACGTGAAACGTATCACGTATGTGTATCGTGTTAATGAGAGATTGCCACGAATATAACGAGTCGTTCGGTATACGATTTTTATGAAACTTCCAGTTTCGCTCTGTAAATAGTAGTAAATAATATATGTCCACTTACACGCTTTCTGAACTTAACTACTGGCTGCGACAATTTCCTCTTCCATACGATACCATTCACGATTCTGTGCCGCCGTTTTCTGTGTATGACACGCGCTACGTGTATTACGTACATATAATTACGCGCTGTGTGCGTCTATCGCGCGTGGCGGGCTGGAGGAACATCGGGCGAATGAAGGTACGTATGTACGGCCTGGGACACGGAAACTTAGCCAGTTCTCGGGCTTGTATTAGTTTTCCCGATAGATACGTATGCTCACCGGGTATCGGAACGTTAGACAAAGATACGGCCAAAAGGTGGGATGATTACGTTTTACCATGTTCCGCGTATATCCTATGTTTCTTTGGTTTCAGTAAAGCGCAGTAGATCGCGGTAGACAAAACGCACAATATCATGCTTCCAAAAATTACGTAGAACGCGTACGTGTACCAAAACCCTACCCAATCCGCGTAAATGTACCAAGACAACGTCATTAGCGTATTTTGCATCAGAACGAAGACGTAATACGATAACACCCACTTGTCCGCGTATTTGAACTTGACTCGGTACTCGATCAAGCTGACGATGTACACCGATCCTAGCCATAAATCCAGAAAAAAGGTAATCACATTGCAGAATTTCGTATGACGAAAAAGATATACAGATACGACGCCGTAGTGTACACAGAGCACGACGAACGAATAGACTGAGTAGAATTGGTAAAATAGAACGAGCGCGAGTAGACGCGCCAGAATGAAGAGAAACCACCACAAGAATGTTAAAAATTTACCAGCGGGATCGTCCTCTTCCAAGCCTTTCGTCGAATACCGGCGTTCTGGAATTTTTAAATCGTAGCCATCGTAGCTGCTGTAACCACCACCACCGCCGCCGCCGCCACTGTTCACGTTTTCGCTTCGTGTTTCCGCAGTACGAATCAATCCGGATTCAGGAGTCGTCGACGAAGATACTCTCGTCTCGGTGGCCGATTCGGATTTGGCTGCGACCAGAGTAGACCAATTGTCCGGCCTCGGTGGAGCCGGCACGTCCGGTACGGGTAAAGGTAGGACCGTGGTGATTCCGCGCAAAGGAGTCGGAGGTGGTAAGACGTGTACGTTCTTGGGAGGTAAAGGAGGCGTTACAGACGCTTGACGATTCGGCGAAACGCTCGGTATCTCGGCTCTTTCGTCGTCGTGTCCCGACATCTCGACGACTTGTTCCGCGTCCAACGCTGCGGATTCGGTTCGGTCCGTGATAGCGGTAGTGATGCTCGTTGTGACGTTCTCTTTCCCTTTCGCTGCCTCGGCCGGTCTCAAGGGTATCTTTTCTTCGACGTCGCCATGCGTCGCTTCCTGATCGTCACGAGCGAAAAAAATCGACTTTATAAATGTCGACGAGGTCGACGTGTACGATGGGCTACAAGTCGACGGCGAGCGGATACGATACCTGTGTACGGTGTTTCCTTAGCCACGTCGCCCATGGCAACGTTCTACCATTAACGCGCTGGCTTTCGAACCTCTGGAAAGAGGCAGTTTGAATAGCGAGTATCGTAACGGACATAACAATAGAAAGTACTTTTACGATCGCTGTAAAAATAATTCACGTTACGTATATCTCGCCGTGTGTCGTAAACTCATCGCGTCGTGTATCGCGAACGATGCCGTTATCTGAGTGTACCTGATTGATGACTGCTAGTAACCGACGACAACGACGACGACGATGATTCGTAAAACAGGAGATGAGTCTGGAAAATGGCTTGAGGAGCTGCTTGGAACCATGCTTGCAGAAAGAAATACAATTCTATAGCTGCGGGGCTAGCTGCTGCGTTTAAAGTGTCGGTTCTCTCTTTCCCGGTTAGGAGGATAGCGTCGATCGACAATACTATGAGAGTCGCGTACCTAAAAAATGCAAACACGATTATAGATGAGATCGTACGTTCGTTCGTTCGCCCGAATACTTTTTCGGATCGAAGACGATTAACGACGAATGATACACAAGTACCTGTAAAGGGCGAAAAATACGAAGCCCGACAAGTGGCAAAGTTGAATACAGAACCAAAGAAAGACGCCTTTCCGCAGCTTATCGTCATCCGTCATCCACCAATCCGGTCTCGAAACGGTTAAGATGAAGTACACGATTGCCGGCGAATACATGAAACCGATGGTGCAGCAACCCCATACCGGATTGTTTTCGCGGAAATGTTGTACGACGACCACGAAATCAGCGGAAAAGTGAACGATGTACACCGCACAGTTGATCAACGATGGGATCAAAAAGATTAAATAAATCTGTTCAACGGATTTCAAAGGAACTCGGAGGAAACGTGTAGGCTTCTTCTCGCAAACGCGATCCATCGTATCACAATGTGCCATTTTCTTCTTGGAAACTCTCCGACCGGTCTGTCGTTAATAATCTATCTTTCCATCTTTCTCTTCTTCTTTTTCTTCCTGTCTGCGATTAGCTCTGAAATCGAAGCGATAAGGGATACTTATGTTCGTATACTATCGTTCGTACGCACAAGTGCGATACGTGCTGCTATCGCGTACGTACGACGATAACGATCAACGGGATCACAGGGATGCGACACGCGACAACGATATCATTTCACGGACGATTGAATCGGGTAGAAAAAAGTTGTACTTTACCGGAATACTTTTGAGGATCGGTTTCGCTTCCGCGGATGTACGAACGAAGAAAATGGATCTCGCCATTACTACGGTCCGATGAATTTTTTAATGCGCGAACGTCTCCTCGGAATACGGGTCCGAGAGTGGATGTATCAGTATGTACGTTCGCTCGTGTATTCGACGTATTATTCCTCTAGTTTAAGGTTAACGACCGCCCCTCTGCTGGCTCTGGTTGTTCTGCAACCTTGGCACGACACACGACACACGACGACTACAGCGACGATGACAGTAACGACAACGACAACGACAACGCGAGACGATAGACACGAAAATACGCCAAAATGCGCTTATGCACGTTGTTCGAAGAACGTGTTGGCTCGATACTGAAATTAGTCACCGTGGAGTTGGCCAAGTAAAATACTGATAACTCGATAAGATAGAAGATTCATCGGAAGTAACAGAGTAATGTATGTACTATACACATCGTATGTGCATGTATGTATGTACACTTGCACACTTGGGTTCATATAAGTATTATAGATCCCGCCGATGATCCTTCCCGATCCCGATCGCAGCAGAATGGCAGAATGAAATGAACACATTGAATGAAACGAATGGACGTTAATCGAACATCGTCGCTTGTCTTTATTAAGATTTTGATTCTCCATGATTTTGGTGCTGACATATCTTTTTTTTCAAGTAGAGCCGCAGAAGATTTAACGTCGAACCGATTCGGTAGAAAAGAATCGGACGCAGTATACGCATACTTACATAGAAATAACATTCAACTGGTATCGTTGAAATATTTCAGCTCGGACGTGTGTAACCTAATCGACGTAACATTCTTCGAGTGCGCGCGATCAAACGTCTCGATCACGAACCGAATGACGACGAGCGATCATAGCGATTTTCTTCTCTCGTCTTATTTCGTCCAGCAGAACTGTGAATATTGCGTCTGCTGATTGCTGCTGCTGCTGCTACTACCATACCAGCTGGACTAGACCGAATGATTTTCGTTGAAGACGGTCGATGGGTCGACGCGATAAGGAGAATGTTCGGAGAAATCTGCTGACGGTGGTCAATGGTGACACGCTCGTAGTAGTAGGTATATATTATTATTTATCGCGTTTCCTTTCACGTTTCCAGTTTTGGAACGTTCGCGCTCACGATAAACCGATATTATCTATGTACATATAACAAATTTTTGGGTCGACCAACGCTTCTACCTATATGGTACAAAGGGACATTAAGGATGTATTGGCTATACAGTCAATCCCAAAAGTTTATGTATCTTAGAAAAACGCATTTCCTATAATTAAAAAGAAATCAGACGTCGGAAGAACAATGTTAATAATAAATAGCTACGTGCTAGAACGTATAGGAGGAAATATCCAATTAATTATTGATGATGGCGAAAAATTTTTTATATAGAAATTGTGGGAATATATATATATATATATATATATTTATATTTAAATATGTATATATTTACACGTATGATAACGCACGTACATGTACTCGCACCCACGCGCGTTGTGATCACGGAGTCGCGGCGAAACCACTCGTTTCCTTTTGCTCGCTACCTCGTTTATCGCGAAGTGTATTGCGTGTACCGAATTCACGGTGATCGCAGTGTATTACCATGCGGCTAGTGTACAAAATAGAGCGAAGCGATGAAAACAGAAGAACGTACTACATTCGTCGTTCGACTTACTACGCGTTGTACAACCGTGATTCTTTGCCTTTCGTATTCGCGCACACCCCGGACGATAACGAGGAAGCTTCGATATCAATGATGATAATAATAATAATAATAATAATAACGATAACGATAACGATAACGACGACGACGACGACGACGACGACGACGACGACGACGACGACGACGACGACGACAACCATGACAGATTATTTACAGGTAACTATTAAAACTTATCGATAAGGTAACTCCACGGAGTTCGTTGGTAATCGTCCAGCAAAACCGAAGATCATCGAACGTTCGATGCGCATCGCGACAAAGATAGAAAGAGAGAAAAAAAAGTTGTACTAGAGTATGTCGCTGGGAAGTGTTCGATCTCTCGATGAATCACCTTTTCACGAGTCGCGAAACATTATAACTTTAAAAGAAATAATAAACCCGATCGTGCTATCGTCATCATCAATGTACGTACGCGAGGATACTTTCGCTTTTCGCAAACAAAGGATCGCCCTGTAAGATTTCGTTGGTCGTTGCATTTTAAAGATAAAATCGACTCGATACAATAGCGAACGTTTATCGGGGAAAACGACACTACTTGATGCGCGAAAGCACAAGGAAAAGATCTCTCTCTCTCTCTCTCTCTCTCTCTCTCGCTATACTTCCATCGAGTGATCGCTCGCGTCGACAAGGATCAATACGTAAATGCGATCGCCGTTCGATCGTTGCCGCTGGATCACAACGGCAAAAGGTCGATCAAGTTAGCTCGAGGTTGCGTCGACGACTCGGAGAAGAATTCTGTCAGTCTATCGTACAGCTCAGTTCTCAGCGTATGAACGTCGCGCGTAATGGAACAGTATAAGGACGACGAATAAGAAGAAGACGAAGACGACGAAGACGAGGACGAGGATGACGTCGTCGACGACGACGATGACGAGGACGAGGACGAGGAGGACGACGACGACGATGACGATGACGACGACGACGTGTCCATGTTAACTAAATTCCCTAATACGTCCGAGCTGCTGATCGGATTCTTGGCTTCACCCAATGAATTATGTTCTCTGAACAGAAGCGACGTCAACAATTGGAACTGCAACGAAAAAAATGTACGCGACGCGCTCCTAAATAGGTTTGTATTCGAAAACGATCGGTAGCTCCGTCGTTATACCATATCGTGTAAGACGTTGCATGTGTCATACCTCTTTCGTTTGTTCTACGTCGGTGTGATCGATGATTTCCGAGACTTTGGTTTGCAAATATTCTAGCGCCTCGACGCTGTTGTTCAAAGCGAGTTCCTTGAACTTGTGCTTCCTGATGAGTAGCTTGCATCTCTTTAAAATTTGCTCGTTAGACGGTCTGCAGAGCTTCAATTGCCAAAAATCGTCGAGCCTCAAATTTGGAAGGCAGGATCTCCCAGGATTGCCACCGAATAAAAAGTGAACCTGCACGATACGTATGTCATATGTCGCGTAATAGTCTTGCGAACGTTCGTTTCGCGCGTAACAGCGTATTAATTAAGTAAGTTTAAGTGGCGATCGGCGATCAAAAGAAGAAAAAAGGAAAAGCGTTTAAACGGGTACGAACCTTTCGTACGGGATCGTAGACCAGTTGATGCGCGTATCGTGGACACGGTTCGTAATCTTGCATTTTACTCCAATATTTCTCTCCGACGTTGTCGTTTCGATAAATGCAAGACCATTTGTTGTTCTTGATGTTGTACACCCAGAAAGAATTTTGAACGCTGTCGAATCTTTTACCTTTGTCTTTGCTCAAACCCTAAACAACGGTAATGATGTTAAAACGAAGTGGTTGTCACGACGTTGCAGGGACGACGTAGGACGATAAACAGCTGCGGCGGAGGAGAGTGCTGCTCCGGGTAAAATACGTACGGACAAAACGTATATTTCGCCTAAATCGGGATCGATCGTAGCACGCTGCGTGAAACCAGCCGCAGGTATGTGATTCGTATCCTTGGCGCCGAATTCGTAGAGTATATGCTCGATGTGGTTCGTGTCGACCTCGTACGTGAAGAAATCGCTGAGATCTTCTTTGCCTCTTTGACCCGCGAAGATATACAACTTTCGCAATCCCTGCAAGACAAATGATGGAGTACCCGTGTCCGTAGATCGTCTCGTGTGTACGAGCACACGCAAGGAACGAAATGTTCGTGTTTACGCGCGGCGCACCGTGACGTGAGTGGACGATGTACATACGTACTGGATGAAACAACATGGCGTGACCGGCTCTGGATTTGATGGTCGGCGCACCGATAGGGCAGGGCCTCGCGACGTCGCAGGCGAGTCTGTTCCACGTCCCGGTTGGTACGTGATAAGAGTAGAGACCGGAGAAAATTGGCTCGGCCGAACCCGACAGGATGCCGTGTTCTTCGTAACTAACGGAGATACGAGGGGAGGTCAGTGACGATTCGGATCGAATGGAATCGGAACGCGCAATTATATACAGCGTACACTTTAATACTCACTTGGTCGGAGAGACGAGAACGCGACCACCGAAAACGTATATGGTTCGTTTTTCGACGTCCATAGACATCTGATGATCGAATATAAGCTGCGGTCCTCCTACCGCGCCAGTGTCTTCCGATATTTGCGTCCACTTGTTCGACTCGATGTCGTATACGAAGAAGTCGCTCTTGAGATTTTCCACCGTTCTGTATTCCGCGTCCAAGTACTTGCCGAGAGTAAACAGCTGCCTGCGTTCTGGATCGAGGCACATTTTGTGACAAGATCTCGCGCTTGGACCGCCCTACGATTTACCGCTGCTCTTGCATTCGAGAATCTATGAACGAACGGATGGACGGACGGACGGACGGACGGACGGACGGACGGACGAACGAACGAACGAACGAGCGAACGGACATCGTTTCTCCGCTTGATAACTTACCATCGCTTCTGCATCTTTGCATATGAGAGACCATTTGTTGGAAGCTATGTTGTACACCCATAAATCCGAAAGATCCTGATTCCCGTCCCATCCACCGAAAAGATAAAGGAGCTCTGCGATAGGATCGAGTACCATTTGATGACCGCCTCTCATCCCTGGTTTCGAGTCGTTAAACGATAATTTTGTCCAAACTGCTCTGTAAGTCTGAGCGTTAATATAGTCGTTCAAAAGTCCCACTGCAACGTAAATCGTCGGTCATTTTGTAAGACTCGCGTCGAGGCATTGTCGCGCGCATTAACAAATCGTTACTGATACGGATGGCGGCGGCACATCGGCAAGCAGCCGAGGAGGACGGAGCACTCACTGGTTATCGCGTTACTTATGAAGTACTCTGCTTGCGAATGATCGCCTCTCGTGACCAACAGATCGTACAGACCGGACAATCTGGGATCTTCGAGCGGTACACCCGTGACTCTTTGCAGAGTCTCCACGATCTCCGGTTGTTCCAGTTTTCGAAAGTGTTTCATACACAGTCTGATCACTTCTTTTTGACGATACTGGAACCAAGTGAATCGCGGTGTTAGTAATGCATAAACGTACGTACGTTCTGTATATACAATATACGTCTCTGTACATGGTATTTACCGCATTCAGCCATTCGATACTAGGCTTTACAATTTTAGCATCGTCGGTGCCTGTCAACCGTACGTGCCAAATGGAAAAATTAAAACTAGGGCCCCAGGATTGTAGCGGAACTATCTTTATGTACCTAACTGGAAAGTAATTTTCCTCGTTCCTTAATACGTGCTTCAAATCGAAAGTTTCCGGTGTCGAATCGTTTTTTAATCCGCTAAAAAGCATAGTTACTCGTCAATGCATTGGATGATCGAAGGACACGTACTCTCTACGTACACCGATACAGCACTTACTTCTCCAAAAGTTCCATCATGTTCTCAGCTTCTAAACCGCCATACACCTTGAACTTCTTTATGTTACAGACATGCGTTTTCTCATATTTACCGAACGTAATAGCTTTCACGATCGATGGACATCGCAATTTCAATATGAGAAACTGAAAAACGAACAACACACATGCTTGTTACACGCCACACACGATACAAACCGCCGCTGTTTCGTCACCGCAACGCTTTTGGTATTACGGACACGTCTCAGATTTGAGACGCTTCGTCTGTGAATCTGAAATGGGTACCGAGGGAGTAATAGTTCGGTTGCAGTTGGTCGACGATCGATCTGTCGGCGGTACGCCGTTACTTTCAACAGTTTCAACAGTTTCACCTGCCAACTACTCTCGACTCAAACTTTTAACTTTAAATTGTTAACTTTGAACGAGGTTCACCTGTGGATAAGTATCGGTATCGGAGGACCAGCGGGACGTCAGATCCGATGGTTCGTCTACGAGGATATTTCTGAAACAGTAAAAGAAAAACGTGTTCGTTAAACGACTGACGGCGGCCGAAAGATCCGGCGAGATTCGAAGACGATACGTAATCGCGAATCGCGTACAATACGCGATACATAGTTTGTGTCGTGGACGTTTCACGTTTCGCGCATCCTGACTGTTCCAGGCTTGGTGCTTGGTAGAGGTTAGAAAACGTCGTTAACCACCGCATCGCCACGATTATTTTCCATCGCGTCCGTAATCAGAAAGCGTCGTCGAATCGCGAAACGAACATTATTCATCTAACGGCGCTACGCTTACTCTGGCACGTACGACGAAGAGAAGCTGGAGCATTTATCAATTTTGAACTCCAACACTTTTTGAAAGTTCCTATTCTCGCTGGACGCCATGTTACACAAATGACATAAGCCTTACTGACACTAAATAAATGTGTGTGCCATTTTTTTTAAGCCGGACACTGTATCGTCGTGAGAACGAGCGAGCGAGTGGGTGGTGGGCACTGCCTGAAAACGAAATCATGCCCAACCCTGTGACGTCTAATGCGATGTCCTGATGTTCATCATCATCATCATCATCTCGCGACAGTCGCAAATTTCTACTTCTACTTCTATACTGTTAACAGCAGTCGCTTTGTCGTACGCCGCCGCACAGTCACACAGTTCACGTTCACCGACACGCAGTTCACGTTCACCGACACGCAGTTCACGTTCACCGACACGCGTATGGATCTGTATTTGATCAGCTTATTATCGTCGTATCCGTATCTCGTATCATCGTGCGTGTGTGCGTGTTTGTGTCGCATACGCGAGTACGTGTGCGCATACACGCGCGTGGTAGTATGTGTCTGTATCGCGGTTGCAGCCGTTGCAGCTTCGAATCATTCGACTTGGGTAATCCGTTCAAACGAATCGTTTCGTACTAGGCAGAACACGAAACTGTCGAAACTCTCGAACAGAGCAGGTAAGGTAGAATCGAATCTGAACGCAACAGACAAGCTCGCTCACTGCGTATAGTAACAGAGTTATCCGCGCTTCGTATATACGTACCTTCGATCAATCATCAGGCCCGCCTTCCCGCCGACGACGTTTCTTCCGTATCGGACTTGACGCGCGTCGTACATCGAGTAATTACCATCCAACTAACACCACTACCAACACCACCACCACCACCACCACCACCCGGTGTTGGACGAATAGTACTACTCGATGAAAACGACGAAATCGTTTCTCTCTTTTTTTATTCACCGTAATAGATGGAGTTTTTAGACACTGGTTCGTCCGTGTGTGCGAGTCGAGTTCACGTTCACGCATCAAGATTGTTCTAGTACGCGTTTTTAATATTATGCTTACAATTTGTATGTACAATGGTCGGTATCATCCCGGATTTAACTGAAAATACATTTGTCGCTCGGAGAACCGCTCGGAGAAAAGAGGGAACGAAGACAAAATGAAAAAACATGACCGAGTTTAACTCAGTTCGAAACCCGCACCAGCTTGTATCGCGTATAAAAGCTTTTCACGTAGAATTTTCTCGTCCGGAAATTCTGGAAGTTTTAACAGATTCATACAGGTACTGGAGGTCGGCAAGCGATCGATGCTACCGGCGTGTTGAATGCAAAAGGGTGGATCGAGTTCCTAAAAACAAAACAAAGAAATAGATTAGCGACGACAACGACGATGACGAGGAGGAGGAGGAGGAGGAGGAGGACGAGGGAAAGGAAACACGTTCATACCTTGAATCCGAGTAAAGGTGGTCGACTGCAGCTCGTAACGAACTTTAGCAACTGTCCTTTCTGCTGATCGTTGAACTCGTTGACGACCTTCCAGAATGCGACGATCGTCGGATGATCGGAAGTATATCCTCCCGTGTAATTAGTATGGGTCTTCAAGTCGTTGACGTCGACCGGAATCTGCGCGCCCGATATCAGAACCTGGAGCTCCTTGTTGTTGAACATTTGGAGCCAATCCAACGGGATCACGTTACCGATACCTTGCTTGAACGCGTAACACTGAGCACGTATCTGCTTGTTCAGTTTGTAATCAGCCATCAGATGAATGTACTCGATGCGATTGTGATTGGTAACAGGGATATTGGCACCGCCCGGTTTTAGTTCGTCGATTCGCCTCTTGCCCAACTCGTCCGACAGCACGGTGAAATCTAAACCGAGCTCGGCCACTTCGCCCCTGTAGCTCTTCAGGTACAAAAGATTCCTGTACATGATCGGATCTAAAGAAGCCAAATGATGAACGTCGACGTCCGATTGACGGCCAACGATTTTCGATAGGAAAAATTCGGCGAGCGGAAGCTCGACCAACAGATTCTCGTACAAAGCTTTCCCGAGTATTCTACCGATAAAATAATAATGCTTCGGGAAATCATCGACCAATAACTGTACCGTAGGATTCGGATAGAGCATATTATCCTTGGTGAGCCTGAAAAAGCCTCTGTTAGGATCGAAGCTCGTTTTCAACAATTCCGATAAAAATTCTCTAAACAGACCACCACCGTCGACTCCGGCTTCTTCCAAACCAGCCGTATTAAAAAGTTGCACGCGCATTTTTAATCGCAGTTCTGGCTCGTTCTCCGGCGATAATTTCTCAAACGCGTCCTCGTACAGATAGTTTCTTCTTACCGATATATGTATCGACGGACCTTGCATAAAGTGCGTTAGTTCGCCTTGTTGTTCCGTTTTGTCGCGATGAATCAGAGACTGAAACACGACTACTCGATTATTGAACGGGACGACGAACGGTATCTCGCGGATCAGTGTCAACGTTCGAATCTTCCTGGCGGAGAGCGGTGGCCCATCCTCCATCGCTTGATTCATCGTCCCTCTGCGAGTGGGAGTGTTCGTCGCCGCTGCTGTCGTCGTCGTCGTTGTCATGGTCGCGACCTCGTCGTCACGACGGCGCCACGATGATACGGCGACCCGCGCCGGTCCATCGTCCCACACGATCTCTTGTTGTTGCTGCTGCTGCTGCTGCTCTTGCTGCTGTTGCTGTTGCTGCTGCTGCTGCTGCTGCTGCTGATATCCACCCCTTGGTCTACGTCTGCGAAGGGTGAAATCTTGACACTTGTCGATCGGTATAGCGATGTTCGAAGCTATCCAGTGACCTTCCGGGCAGAACTGTCGTCTCAAATCTCGAGTATGCAGTTGACGCAACAAAGCTACAGTCACTTTGAACAAATGGGTCCAGACTTGCGTGTCCTGTTGATTCTGCGTAGCGGCGGTACACGAAGGACCGAGAACGGCGCTTTTGTAATCGTCCCGTACCGTCGGTCTACTGTCGGGGAACGCCAGCTCGACCAAGCCTAAACAAACTCCTTTCAAGTGACCCGAGAGCGAAACCAATTCCGAGGTGGTGAACGGCATCGCTGCTGCTCCGGCTGCTGCTCCCGCTGCCACTTGTCGTTCATCACTGCCGTCGTTGTCCTCGACAACCATCGACGATCGTTCGTTGCCCGTTTCCTCGATGAAAAACTCCGTATCGTGCAACGTCGCGATCAACAGACTGAACAGCGAACAAAATACCGCGAGCAACGGAACCATCAGTTGAGCGTGTTCCGCAGAGAGGCCGATTCCTCGCGATACGATTTGTAGCAGAGGCGTTGCCTCGCCGAACAATGAGATTTGACGGGCCGATAACAGCGCGGTCCATACGTTCTTCAAGAATCCTGGTTTGAACGCGAGCATGTACAACAATTTGTATTTGTGAATGGCCGATTTGTCGGTAATTAGCAAATGATGGCAGAGTTGGCACAGTGGTTGCAACATGGCCGGATCTTTGGCTGTTCGATCCACCGCTGATAATATCCCTTGAACGTGTCGTTCCTCGTTCAGCATCTCTATACATTCGTGCAAAATATCGGCTTGATCTCGATCGATCGCGTTCGCGTTCGACTCCGAATCGTCCGAATCGTCCGAATCTTCTATCCGTCCAGTAGCCTGGCTGCTGCTGCTGCAACCGCCGCCGATCACCGTCAAAGGTATGATCGTCGAGCTCATCGATGCAAGCAGTTTCAAATAGTCGAGAACAACGTTTTTCGGTTTCCACGTAGCTGGAACGAAGACAAACAGAGTGAACAGGGTGAACATCGTGAGAAACGTCGAACTGATTCGCGTCGACTAGATCGTCGTCGTCGTCGTCGTCCGCCGCGTAATACTTACAAAACTGATGCGACTCCAGGAACAAAATCGAATAAAACATACTTATCGTTGGCTCTATTTCCATCCTGTCGATACACAGATTTAATCGAGCGTACGGAAATTCTACGAACTGCTCGGCCAACGATGGAACGACGAACATTTTGATCGGATCTGACATTCTCGGAGACAGTATGCTCCTGCACAGTTCTCGTAAAACGAGCATAGAGAAAGCATCCTCGTCTTCCCGTCGTTCCAGAAAACCGATCAACTCTATCGGTCGCTTGACCATATCCGAGAGACATTTGGCCATTGGGGTTGGCGCGACCGACGTAGGTTCCAACATCGATGGAATTTTATCGTCTATCAATTTTCTTAATCGACCGAAATATTCATGTTTGATCAAATAGGTAAACACGTCCTCCAGGTACTTGTAACTGTTCTCAAGTAAAACTTGTTCCGTATCCTCTCGACTAGTAAACGTCTCTAACGTTCTCAATGGTATGGCCAACGAATACACACCGTTCGTCAGCGCTTCCGAATTATGTTGCATACACATGCGAAGAACCCATCTGTGGAGCCGTGCATTTTATTTTATCATTCGATCGTTCGATGCGATGACTCGTCGCACGTGATCACTTACCTCAGTCTCCAAAGCCATTCTGGACAGTTTACGCATTTACGTTTAATTTCTTGCCGATGTCTCAGAAAATGTTGGAGCATCCACACCAGCCTGCTGGCATCCGAACCGGCATCGTAGAAGAATAATAATTTTTGAAAATACGTCGTCAACTCGTCCAACGTTAAATTTCTATGACCGCCGCTCAGTTTCTGTTCCGCATCGAATTCTCTCCTTTTGGCCAATCGTGCACGTTTTCTCGCTACGAAGCCACGCGTGAGCGCCTGAATTTTCAACACGGCCGTGTATCTTTTCCGTTGTTGCTCCCTCTTTAGCCGTTGTAATTGAGCGTGTTGCAATAGAACTGACTTTTCGTATCTTCTACTGGCTCCTGCCAAATTTTGTTGAGGTTTCCGTCTGTAGTCTCCTTCGAAACTGTACATGGTGTTCTGCTCCTAACTCCGTTCAACGGTAGCAGCAGCAGCAGCAGCAGTAGCATCAGTAGTAGCAGCAGCAGCACGACATACCAGTTTCCTTTTTCGAACAAACAGAGAAGGGTAGAAAGAAAGACGAATATATAAAACGTCGTTGCCTCGAGGATCCCATTCACTTTTCTGCGTGTACTTACCGTTATCGCCGTCGGCGGGAAACTTTACGTTTCTACTTCTGCTTATAAAGATCGAAACGATTTTTTTTTAACGATATCTTTTGAATTCTTTCCAAGAGTCTCTCGATCGTGAAGAAGAAACAAAGATTCAATGACCCACGTTTCGAGTTTTATCTCGTTTTACTTGTATCTCTGTCTCTGTTGGTCCGATGACTTTTCAACGTGACATCGAATTAAACAGCATCCGTCGTTTCACTTGAAATTTTAATTTATTTCTACGTCCAGTAAAATCGAATTGTTCGTCACTACGTCTATGTAGGTCTACGTTTATGAGGTTAACATTTACGGTAGACGTAACCGCATCCCCTCGATTCCGACTTTCGACTTAGTACCTAATACACAATATTTACCGGTTCAAAATCGAATCAAGGTCTTCGTCATCGAAGGGTATACGCGTTTATTTCAACGGTAGTACATCGGCAAAAAACTAGGCTAGGCGTTTTAACAGCACGAGATCGTATGTACGCCGATGTGGGGTGGTATGTATATCAGTATGTATGTATGCGTGTAGTATAGTCATCGAATGTTCGCCATGTTTTATTTCACCGTTGTTCACCGCCGTTCACCAAATCACCACCACCACCCGTCGTCGTCACGGTCGAGGTGGGTCGAGGTCGAGGATCGAGTCTTCACCTCAGTAGTCAGTAGCAGCAGCAGCAGCAGCAGCAGCAGGACAGCGACGGGCATAGTCACCGAGTCGCACGAGTTCCTCGGAAAACGTACGTAAAATCACCCATGGACTTGAGAGATCCGTGTGGTCCACATACGCACGATTCGTGTATTCTCCCATTCTCCTCTCTCTGTCAGTCGAAGCTCCCAAGAGCTGGTTCCGAGAAGTTAACTGCTGCAGCTGTGTAGGCCGTAACTGGCTAACGAGTAAAAATATAAACATTTTTTTTTAGCATTTTTGTGAAACGAAAAGTTCGATCAAATCATACGTCTCGTAATTCGACACCAACCCAACGATTGTCGTGTAAATATTCGAAAACGAATCGATCGATCTGCAATCGCAGATCTGCTCTCTCGAGTGTGTTTCTCGGTAAGCGGTGTAACCAGAATAAGCATAGAAACACATCTAAGGATTAAGTACTTTCGATTGTGGCTATCTAAATACGCGTTACGACGATCCGAAATTTGATTTCAACAAAGAAAATTCGAAATCGTTCCCGTTCGGCGGTTCATAAATCTCTTAACCTAGATTTCACATGACCATTGACAACCGACAACTACGACGACGACGACGACGACGACGACGACGACAACGACAGACGTGAACGACGGATGCGAAAATATATTTCCTTATTTCGGGTCATATTCCAGATCTGTGGTTCGATTCGTCGTTCGATCAACGAAAATGTCGTGTTGGCGAAAGATTCAACCGGTGGAAGGACCCATCAGTCTATCGGAGATAACTTCCGAACAACTCGCCAACAGTTTGCAAGAAAAGTAAGTGACGAGTTTCTTCATTTCTTTACGTACGCGTATCGCGCGCGGCTGCACGAAACTCCAAAAGAGCATAAGTTCTTAATGATGATCGCAGGGAATCGAAGAGGTACAAAGTCGAATCGGTGCGGCACGATACGAAGGTGCAAGATCATGCGACGACGTACGAATCAAACGATACCGACAGCGACGAGGTGATCGCGCATGTGTTGCAAGATCAGTTCAACAAAGAATACGATTTGATGTTGAAACGCACGGAAGAAAAGTTGAACCGTGATTCGAAGGGTGAGGTGAAGATCTTTTTTCGAAATCTCGTTTCACATTTTACAGATCGATAACTGAATTTTTACAGTCAATATATCTTACACGAACTATCGAACTTCGCTCTCCGGCGATCATGGCGGCGGCGACGGCGACGATAAAGACGTGGACAATGAGGATACGGATGGCAAAGACTTTGACAGATTCGTGGTACATATATTTTTTTAGTCATCTTTTTCTCACACGCGTGCTCGTCGTACGCGAGGATCAACGTGTCGTTTGTCATATTTTACAGAGCATAGAGAAGGAATACGCTTCCATACCGCGTTGCGGATATAGAAAAATGGGAGGCGACGGATCACAAATAGTTACAAAACACGACATGCTGATGTCTTCGCGAATAAACGCATGCAGAGTATTGCAGTTTCCACCGGGTATTCATACGGGAGACACGGGAGGGTTCGACGTGAAACTGAACAATAAAGTGTTCAACGGCCTGAGAGCCCACAGCCACGCTCAATGTTCCAAGCAAAAGGCTAAGACTCGACCGCACACGAAATAGAACGCGCAACATCGAGTAATGTGGTTTGTGGAATGTAAATAAGCACGACGTCGCGATAACGTGATCGTAAGGTTCCTCCTCGTTTTTGTTCTCCCTTCTGCTGCTGGTCATTCTTCCACGCGTACGAAGCGACGCAAGCTCTCGTTTTCACGTTTTGACGCGGATGTATTGGAACGTCATTATTTTCAACGTTAAACGTCGTCGTCGACGCTGATACGATTGTGATATGAAAAATAAATGAAAGACGAATATTTGACCAAGTATACGGCGTGGCGTTATTAGACGTGGCGTAAATATCCAAGTACGCAGCTGCTTTTTTCTATTTAGAATCAGTAAGCAGTCTTACAGCGGTGTTGCTCGTATCGATGTTCCTAGCTTAAAATTAGCAAGACCGACATCATTTCATCCAGCGATGTCGAGACAACTTTCTCTACGAAATAATTTTATTATCTGTTATCGTTACACTTCATCTACATTAATAATCAGATTCGAACGATTTTACTCGTCGATATCGTCTTCGCGTTCGACCCTATTTTCCGACGACGACGACGACGGAAGCTGTTCTTTTCTGCGAACGAATTAAGAAGTAAGTTTAAACACACGACACGGTAACAATCGGGGGAAGGGGTGGTTAAGGGAGGACGTGATAAGCACAAATTAATAAACGAAGACAGAAAGAATATTACATTTCGATTGGCGGCAGCGACGATGATTCGTTGAACTTTATTTGATCGTTATCTAATAATCGTTGTCTCCCTTCGCTTTCCTTCAGAGTCTCCTTCAATATCATATTGTATATCTGTCTGGTGTTTAATCGCGACGTCGGATAATTGTTCGTTTTATCGATGGAATTCTTCAACGATTCGAATATATTCTCTTTCGCTTCCTGTTTAACCGATCGTCGTACACCATCGTCGTCCTTGACCACTGCTCCTCCCAACCGAACCTTTCCGACAGCTACGAAATATTTATAATCGCCGCGCATACATCGATACAATGCGAGCACATGATCATTCGGAGAAATGAAAATTGATACCGATACCGACGCCGCCTGAGGACAGCCCGAGGTCCTTGTCCCTCTCTTCCGATAACAGATCTTCGAAGGAATACCGCGGCGCGTTCAACGATCTCTCCTTTCGGCGTGGATCGAACGTCGTTCTGTGCTGTGCTAAGATGTTCTCGGCCCCCGTTCTACCGTGGACCGCGGACAATCGTTCCGAGGTCGAGCCGTCGATATTCTCGCGGAGAAGTGAATCCTCCTCTTCCTCCTCCTGTTCGGTGTTTAACAACGACGCGGACGATACCTGGATCAGCGGTGCGGCAGCAACGGCGGTGAGCCGTCTGCACATGAATCCGTTGTACAAGGTCAGCGAACGGCGAATCGACGATCGTAACCAATCGTCTCTGAACGATAAACAAACAGATTTTTCTAGAAAGTGATTTCATTCCGTTTCAAGTGATCTCGCGTCTCACTTACAAACGTTTCGCGTGCAACAGTCCAAAAATAATGAATAACGTAGCCACCGGAGCTACCAAATAAATAAACATTTTCGATACGTTTATCGGCAGTACGTACGATGCTTCAATGGGTCCGCATTGTTCGTCGATTGACTACTCGCGCGAAGGTGAACGAGAACGAGAGGCGAGACGAGGACGATCGGTTTTCGGCCTACTACGAGACCGCTGAGACGGCTGAGACGGCTGAGACGGCTGTGACGGCTGAGACCGCCGCGGACGGGACGAATAGTGAGCGATGAGCGAGGGCCGATTGCGACGAGTCTCCGATCATCAACTGATCAGCAAGCAGTGAAGTGTGACTGGTGTGACTGCACTCGTACTCGTTCCAACTCGTTTGTAAACAGTCTGTAAACGGTTGGCCGGTCGTGAGAAATACGCGAGATAATACAGGTATAACAAAGTACGAAGCTGCAAAGTAAGTTTTTGGTATAATCTTATACTTTCGTGACATTGACAACGACGAGAAAGATACGATACGTTTTATGATTCGAGGTTATGATCATGAACACGAAGTCGAACGAGAGAGATGAATCGAACATGAAAGTCGAAATTCAAAAAGCACTGATCTCAATTTATAATTTAACATCGAACATGTAAGGACGACAGTTTCCCGGGAAATCCTACTATCCATTCTAACCGCGTAACGAATAAAAATTAAGTGAAGCGAGCTTGCTCGTCGCCGGCTACGTAAAACGTTAATGAAAATTATTCCCGGCTTTCAGAAAGAGCGAATTGGAAATGATAAACGATTACACGAGGAGAGATGGACAACTGCGAACGGCCGTGCTCCAAGCGAACGAAACATTAAGTACGGTTGCTCGAGACGCGAACATAGACGTCAAGAGCGTGTTGTGCGACGACGACAACGACGACGACGACGAGACGCAATCCGATTCGAGAAACAGCCTGTCTTCCGCCATGTTTCAACAGAACATACTGGCGTTGTTGAACGATATGTGAATATGTGATTTATTTCTCATCGAAGAACAAAAACAATGTGCTTTTGTGCTAGTAAACCGTATACCATATAGAAAAAATAAACAATAAATTGTACCAGTTTCTCCACTTGGTACACTCGATCAATTTAAAGCTTTGATTCCGTGAGCCAATTGAATTTTTGTTGTTTACGATCTGCCTGTGGACTGATCATGATGTTTATCAAACTGGGAGAATCGGTTACCTGTGTGCGAGACGTAAAGGAATACAGATAAATTAGAAATTGCGAATGACGACCCCGACGCGACTAATCGAACTGCGCGTGGTGGATTCTTACTTGAAGGGCAGCTTTTAGCGCGCGTTCTATATCTTCTACCGTGATGCAAAAGTACCCCTTGCGACCGAACATTTCCATCATTTTCTCGTAATGCGTATCCGCCGTCAATGAATGTGGCGGTGTCCTTTAAAAGAAAAAGAAACGCAAAAGATGCGCACGCACGCGCGCGCCCGTCAAGACTCGAGCCGATAGCTAGATCCATTGATGAGAAAACTTACACCTGCGTCGGTTCTCCCGAAGCTTGTATCTGTCTGAAAGTTTCTTTGTCCAGACCGCTGTAAATGCCATTGTTATTCACGACGATAACGATGATCGGTAGTTTATATCTGAAACCGTGGTGATGGTGGAGGAAACCGGGGTAGACTCGTCGTACGCAATTGGCGTTCCGCGCGAGCGAGCGCGCTCACGATTAAAATTACGTGCGTCTGTCTACCTGGTCATCGTCTCGATTTCCATGCCTGAAAATCCAAACGCGCTGTCTCCCTCCACGCAGATGACTCTCTTCGCAGGGGCATAGTTCTTGCAGTAAAGAGCAGCTGCTATAGCGAAACCCAAGCCTACGCCCATGGTGCCAAAGGTAGCGGCATCCAATCTATGTCGGGGTTCATCATTCAACAAAATCGTTTTCCCGATGTCCATCGTGTTCGCTCCTTCCGAGCAAACGATGCAATCTACCGACCGAAATCACACACACACACACATACACACTCTGTGAAACAAAAGTTGACCGCGTGCGTCCCAAAGAGAGTAGAAATTAACGAAGCTAGTATCACCGACCAGCGGGTATAGTATCTCGAACACGTTTAAAGACGGCGTAATAATTCAATGGCACCGAGACGTCCATCGACATGGCCTGAAATAAAGCGAAATCAAATGAATCGTGTACGCGCGACGATCTGCTGCTCAGTATGTACGCGTATCATCACGAATACGGTTACGGCATCGTGGTTTCCGAACCGCGACTCACTCGAATCGTCGCTTTGTTCTTGCTCGAAGTGGCTCGCAGACCCTTCCACCATGAGCCATCGTCTCGGACGAACCATCCGCGTTCTTTCAAAACTAGGAGAAGCCCGTCCGCGGCCGTAGACACGTCCGATTGAACAGCGACCTCGGATGGAACAGAGTTGTGCAGCTCCTCCGCGCACAAATCCACCTAAATATCGATCGTTCGCGAGGGTCAAGATCAAAGCTGTTGCTGCTGCAACTGTAACGTTTTCACATCTATATACCTGAATCGTTTTCACGTCGGATTGAAAACGCGGCGGTTTCCCAAAGTGCAGCATCCAATTTAATCTGGCGCCTAACAGGAGAACGACATCGGCCTTCTGCAGAGCGTAGGTTCTCGCGCTGGAGACGCATCTCTCGTCCGTGTCCGGAACGACTCCTTTTCCCATCGGCGTAGGTAGGAAAGGAACGTTCGTCGAACGCACGAGATCGCGAACTTGCTTCTCCGCTCTGGCATAAGCCGCACCTGCGATACGACGTCGCGATTAATTTTTCCCGATAAACTCGCTCGAGGTTCGTCACCACCGCCGGCGCCGCCGACGATGACGACGACGACGATTCGATGTAATTGCCTTTTCCCACGATTAACAACGGCCTGTTTGCCCGTGCGAGCAAGCCGGCGGCTCGTTCGAGCGATCGACGATCGGGAAACGTGAGCGGCGGTGGTGGACAGGGCGCGACTCTGTATATCTTTTCATCTTCGATCGATTGGCACAACAGAGTGGCCGGGAGGTCCAAGTACGCGGCACCTGGAAATATATGCAACATAAGAATAACTGTTTGTCTTCTGGACGTTGATTCGCCGCTGCGTACAGTAAAACGTACCGGGTCGACCGTACGTAGAGAGACGGACGGCCTTCTCGACATGAAGCGGTATCAACGACGCGGACGGCGGTCTAGCGGCGTATTTACAATACGGTCTACTGGCTTCTACCTGAGGCCACTCCTGAAACCCTCCGATACCCTCGTGATCTTGAGCGCAGGACCCACCGAGCACTATCACTGGCCTGAACGAAAACACGTTTTACAACGCGTACACTTGTTTTAATATCGTCGTACTACGTATCTATATATCTCGCGAGAAAACACCCATACAAGCACTGACCAACAGTTGACTTGGGCGTTCGCCATCCCACCGATCACGTGAAGCAATCCTGGTCCGGAGACGCACAGAACCACCGCCGGTTTTCCTGATTTCCAAGCGATCTTATCAATAATAATTCACATAACTAATTATTAATCGTAAGATCTCGTCATGCTCGCGTGCGCGAGTTTGTGAAAAAATCGTTGAGCGTCGATCGTTAATCGCATTGCGTTCTTCGAAACGTCTGTGTCCACGATACAGTAGGACAGATATACGTGGTGTACGTATGTGTATGTACGTGCGCACGTACGGCAATAATAATTTACATGAACTTGCGGTGTGTAACGATTCTTTCCAAACTCGTGCCGCGATCAGAGAGATTCCGATTACGCGCGGTACGTATGCCCATGCCCGGTATAAGTATAGTCTAGTATGTCTCTCGTATGTTACTCGTCAGATATCCGTAGGCTTGCGCAGCGTAACACGCGGCTTGTTCGTTTCTAAATCCAAGGTACTGAACGCCTGCGATCTGCATAGACAAAGCTAGATCGATCACGGGATGACCCATTATTCCAAAAACGTATTCGACACCCTGTTAAAGAAAAAAAGAAAGAAAGAAAAAAAGAAAAGGAGCTGCTTGCCTGCCATTATGATAGCAAATGACAAGAGGTGTACGTGTCTCGAGATTCTCGAATGTACCAGGAGATCTTTTTACTAACATTTGTTATTCGCATTATCGCTGCCGATACAGAATAACGCCGTTACCATTGTAGGATAGGGTCAGGGTAGGATAGGGTCAGGGTGCAGTCACGGAAAAGCGATAAACTCGTCGTCGACGAAGACGACAACCACGACGACGGTGGGATCTAAAAATGTATTTACCGCCGCCGTCGACGATGCCCGCGGTCAAGGACTAGTGCAGAAAACCAAAGTACAAACAGTGATATTTACAGGGTTGACGATAGTGCAATGAGATGGTGAACGGTTAGAGATTTTCTTTATTGCGTATAAGAGGAGGTAACGAATTCCATAACCGAAGCGGAATGAATTTCACGGAATGAATTTCTTAAAGTTATGGTCGCGAAGGTAGGTATGTCGAGTGACGTCATGTCACCCCTGACCTAGAGTGAGAGATAATCGCATGTTTCGAAACGTTCCTGTGGACGAGTAGTAATCCGCCGTCCTGGATAAGAATAATCGTATTAATCGCAATTAAGTATTTACCAAGCAACTTGAATATTTTTCCATGACCGATGCTCGGCTACAAACGTACGCCACCCGTGTCTCGCTAACAATCTTTCCACATAATAATAAGTAATAAGTAATAATAATGATAGAACAGCGTGTCGTGTTATACCAGAGAGGAAATTTCCTCTCTGGTTATACGTATGATCCAAGTACGTACATATACGTTTTGGAAAACTTTCGAGGAAAATTCCGGATACAGCAGGATGTTTCGTTCATGTTCTTACGACGACGACGACGACGACGACGACGGAAGCGGCGGCGGTGGCAACGACGAAGGGCGACTTCCGCTGACACCGCGAGCGAAACAAAGTAAGTCTTTCGCGAAACGGGTTCGCGGAACGCTCCGTCGACGAAAGTGAACGAACCAACGGACAATATACGTAAACGTACGTTTGTACATACATAAGTATACGTATACCGTGTACGAGACGTTCCACGTCCGCGCATGAACATGACCGTGGCACGTACTGTACGATTATATAACCTCTGCGTGGCGTAGTTACGACGAACGACGAATTCGAAGGAAAACGTGTAGGACGAGGAAAGATAGATGGAAAAAATATGAAACTATCGACTACCTGTTCCTTCAAAGCTTCGGCGGTTATTTGATTCCCGTTCTTCATGTTCGAAAATGTTTCTTATGTCACCGAACCGTACGAACGTAACAAGTAGGTATGCAACAAGTCTGCTGCTGCGATGACGACGACGACGACAACAGTGTTTCGATCTGCTCGACGAGCCCCGTGTCGACCGTGCTCAGTCGCTCGGTCTCGATAGTAATCACCGATAGATCTATTCGCACACCATCACACATATCTTGGTCCGTTTCTTATCCATTACTGGCGACTGATCAACCCGAACTTTGGAACCAAACAGATACGAGTGGAAAAGAATGAGTAAACAAAAAATTCGATCCTCGCGCGCAACGCGCAGGCAGAACTTGCAGTTTCCTTTGTTTCCAGTCCTGTCCAAACTCGCGCCGCGAACCATTAATCTTTAAACGTGTTTCGTACATTTACGAACGAACGTAGACAACGAAGCGTATTAGCAAATTTTCTTTCAGCCCCCAGAATGTAAGCATTTTCAATTTACTACTCTCGGTATTTATTACTCTCGGTACTGTTTACCGCTTCGGCCAGCGTTAACGATCAGCGTTTACCTAGGAAGATTGCCAGTTCGGGCCGACCTTTCTTTTGTATGGAAAGGAAAAGTGATTTCACCGACATTATTATCGCGTCGAGGAAAGTACGTCCGTGCGTCGTCCCTTAAGCTGTCTCTAAACGCTTAAATCCTTCGAACGACCACGGTCGGTCCGGTCGGTCCGACCGCACAGTTCTCGAAATTGCACCGTCCTTTTACCCATCCTTTTAAAGCTGCTACAGCTAAAATTTACCTGAACCAAGTTTCGTGCAAAAAGGATAACGGGACTAGGAATTACGGCCTGGGTACAGCAGCAGGCTATGTACCTGGAACGCGTCCACTCGGGGGTGAGAGCTTTGTTATTCTTTCGGTCAGCGAAATTCGTTTTCACCCTGGCCGTTGTCTATTATTTCCAAATGGTCCGCCGTGTCGGCGGCGGCCGTAGTAGGATCACCAGAGGAGAGACAAGCGTAGTAGGTAGGTAGGTAGGTAGACAGTCCTCTGTACTTGACACGCGGTCTTTCAAAAATTTACTTTGCTCGCTCGGTCAGATGATTTATTACGGTGTCGCGTCGTTATTACATTCATCTGCGATTCTGCATCGTTCAGCTCGTTAAACGTGCTTCCTCGGCTATACCTACTTACCTATCTAGGACTAGGCTGCTGGGAACCGATACGCGCTGCACTAGAAATCGTAGCAGCTCATCGAGGTTCGATCGCATATTTTAATGAGCAAGCATCGTCTCTCACGCGCGTCGTCGTTACGTAATCGTTCTCGTTCACGTTGTATATTCTTCTGCTGCTGCTAAATTTCAGACAAGCGCCGAGCACGTATCCGCTATAACATATTAATCGCGCAGCGCAGGAGCATGTACCTATATACACGTAGCGTAATTGCTTCCGCTTTGAATCGCGAAATCGCATAAAAATTAACTTGGACGAGAAGATAGGCGCTATCTAAGTATTTGGCGAAAGGACGAAATTTCTTTTCACGTTAAATGTTTTCCGAACCATCGTTCACGTGCGAGCGAGTTACTTTTTCGCTCCCGTTCGACTCGACGGAGTCTCGACGGTCAATCGCTGTTGCTGCTGCTGCAAAAAGCTTACTGTTGTCTACGTGTCTACACGTAAACAGTGATCGACAACGGGCGGCAAATCTTTCTCGAGTCGCCGCCGCCGCCGAAACGACCCTGGACGATTGGAAGCTTGGTGGGAGATCCAGGTTCCCGGACCATATCTTATCGGCTCGTAAACGTCGTCGACGACTGCGTCCACGAGCAAGCATATATAAATTAAAATGATCATCCTTTGCCCTATCGCGGAACGTATTTCGACAGGCGAAGAAAAAGATTGCGCAGCGTAGCGTCGTCATTGTCGCTGTTCGGATACAGCGCGCAACGGCATACGCCAACCGCGACCGCGGTGCGACGAGCCAGCCACCGAATTACGTAAAACCTGAGCAAATTATTGAAAATTAAGGAAACGACATTCCACGATGTCACATTTCGCGATCATAACGAAGCGCAAAAAAATTGCAGCGACACACGACGAGCTATTACATGAACGCGATAATAGAAAGTATTTTACGGCGATTCTCACCGCCCTATCAGCTTTCAACAGTAGCAATTACTTTTTTGCAAATAAACTAATAATGAAGCCCATCGAATGGTCCGGCCGCGTAACCTCACGGATGCGATCTTACACCATCGTCGTATCGCCATCGTCGAAGACCGCGACTAATCGTAAGACCCTTGATAAGTGTACCTTCGAAAGGTTCCGATCCCAAGATCTGCTTGCTGTCCTTACGAGACGGACGAGGCAGCATTCTCGTATCCATGTTTGCAGCACGGGATACGCGGGGGTGCGCAACGGTGGTAAGACAGGCGGGGGTGCTGGCCTGCTAGTTTACTGGCTGGCGGCCGGTCGGCTCGAATCCCCAAAATTCGGTATCCTTCTTCCTCGTTACGTTTCGCTACGACGACGACGACGACGACGACGACGACGACGACGACGACGATGGAAGGGACGTACCTGGCTTCCCCACCTACTCTCTCACCTACCTGCGACCATTGAAATAGGCTGACCGGACAACCGATGTCATCAGTTGCTCGTTCGACAGTTTTGGGTACGGGCCGCGCGATCGGAGCTAGTTCTCAAGTAGTAGATTTCGACGAACCCGAGTTCGTGTTCACTGTTCGTGTTCCTCATCGTCCGCATACGAGTGACATCCCATCGAAGGAATCGGCACTTCCGTCGTTGAAGAACGCCGCCGCTCTCTGGTCGCAGGAGATCATCGCCCGTTTCCGATCCGATCCGATCCGATCCGATCGTCTACGTGGCCGGAAATCGCGAAAAAATGTACAAAAAGTATCTCTATGAGAAGTTTGGCTTGCCAAGTAAGTGTGAAAAACGATTTTCCAACTTGCGATTAATTACGCGCGACTATTAGTTCAATTTCTTTCTATTTCCGATTCGTTATCGTTCGTAGACCGTCTCACGTTCACGCGGCGAGTTTTCGGCATCGGCATAGTTTTCGAGACTCGTTCCCCGTTATTCAACCTCCTTGTTACAAGTCGATCGTTTAGAACCGCTTAGCCAAATTCCTTTCTTCTCCTTCGTTGTCGTCGTTGTCGTCGTCGTCGTCGTCGTCGTCGTAGTAGTCGTTATGACTTTCGCGTTCGAATCCAAATAATTTTTTTTCTCTACAGCGAGACGCGACGGTCGCGATACCAAGAGCTCGCGGTAGCGTCGTTCGCGACCGTAACCGAACTGTTCCTTTCTCGATGATCGTTTCTGCGATGGTACGCGCGTTCAACACGCGTGTCTACGTACTTTAGCCGTCGAAAATCGATCGCCGTACGTACCGTGATGAAACGTACTAAACGATCGAAGACGGGGAATTTTTCATCGGTGATCGCTGGAACGGAAATGGAATTCGTAATCGGAAGCGGTAATAATTTTGTAAACAACAACATACGGTAACGACACACGATTCGTAAACATTTCGGGGGGAGCGCGGAACCGTTGACGAAGCGATCGAGAACGTTCTGCCGAAAGACGTGTACCACACCACCGTGCAGTTGTTATTTGCTGGTATGCGCGTGTCGTTACGGATTAGGAACACGCTGAACAATAATAATTCGAACAAAGTCGAAGTTTGGTCGAAGAAGGCGCTGCGCGCCGTTCTCACGTTCTTTTCGCAACAGCGACGGCGTCGTCGTTGGTAATACGTGACGTATAAGATACGTCCTGGTCCATCTGTTTCGCGAACGGGAAAACGACTCGAACTCGAATTTCGGATTTCTGGGAACAATTGCGAATCGTCGATGGATCGTAGTCGGCAAACATACTCGTTCTCGTCGTCGTCGTCGTCGTCGTCGTCGTCCGATCACATTCGTTTCGTTGACGATAATCTTCTTCGGACGCCCGATGTTCAGAACCATTCGAGAGACTATACCAGGTTTCTTCGATAGCCCCGATTCTCTGTTCTGGAGAGGGTTGAGTAAGCGAAATACATACACACGTAATATCGTAGTATCTGACCGAGACTATAAAACGAACGCGAGCGCGGTGCGGCAACCTGGTCCACGATCCGACGATCCCTGTTCCGACTCATCACCGACAAATTAATAATACACCGACGAACATGGACGGGCGGACGATCGTACGCGACAGAGAAACGTGCGTTCCCCGTTCTCGTACGATTATTTAATACTGATCCGTTGCGTCTCGTCTGTGGTTGCGCGCAGGATGGATCCCGGTACGAGTGCTGATATGTCTGATGATGTTCACGGCCTGCTGGACCAACTACATGTGCAGGCTGCAAATGCCGATTTTGGCCGTGCCGATGATCAAGGCCCTGCCGGGGAATGAGTCGATGGGCGCGTGCCGGATGGAGGAGTCTCGATTCCGTCGCGCGATCTTCTGGTTGGACCCAGGTGCCTATTTGGAGGAGCAAATCCTGTCTGAGAGAATAGCTAAAGAAGCCGAGCAGGAGCAGGACCGGGACGAAGGCATCGGATCGCTGCCGAGCGTCGAGCGCTCGAGCTCTCGCGTCCGCAGGCAGAGCGGCGGCAGCGACGGTGAACAAGAGACTCGCCCCCCGGACGGTCCGATCGAGTTGTTCAACGGGAAACCGTTCGATTGGAGACCGGAAATTCGGGGCCAATTGATCGCCGCGTACAGCTACGGAAACGTTCCCGGCAACCTGCTGGGTGGTATGATGGCCGTCAAGTGGGGCCCGAAGAACGCGATTCTCTGGACGTCGATCGTGGCCGCTCTGGTGTCGCTGGTCAGCCCGATCTTCGCACAGCTTCACTGGAGCGTTCTTTTGATCTCGAGGATAATCATCGGCTTGACCGGTGGTATAACCTTCCCTGCTTGTCACTCTATGGTAGCGCAATGGGCTCCGCCTGACGAGAGAGCCCGCTTCATCTGGTCGCTGCTCGGCGGCACGTTCGGCACAATTCTAACTTATCCGATGGTCGCCGCTATCGCGCAGAACCTCAACTGGGAGAGCGGATGGTACATCCCGTCGTTGCTGATGCTCGTCTGGATCTTCTTCTGGACCATACTCGCCTACGACAATCCGGTCGAACATCCCGGTATATCCGACGAAGAGAAACAGTACATTCTATCGTGAGTCCACCAGACGCTTCGCGTCGCTTCCGTTCGCGTACTCTCTTCGCGTACTCTCTTCGCGAACTTGGTTCGCGCGGGCTGGGGTCCACGGGTTCACGTAGTTCACGGGGACGATGCGTTCGCAGGGCGCAAGCGGACACGGTGAGACGCGAGAAACCCACGCTGAAGGACACGCCGTTCAAGGAAATATTCACTTCGATCCCGTTCATTAGTCTGGTCTTGTGCCACTTTGGCAACATATTCCTCCTGTTCTTCTACCAGAACTCGATGATGCTCTACCTGACCAAAGCATTGGGATTCGAATTGACCAAAGGCGGGATGGCCGCCAGTTTACCGTGGGCCAGCAGGATGATCTTCGGATTCTTCTTCAGTTGGGCCGGCGACACGATCAAGAGGAAAGAGATAGTCTCCCTCACCATCCTTCGCAAGGGCGCGACGGTGTTTTGTAAGTATACACAGTCGCGCGTTCGTCTCGCGGTTCGTCAACACGTCTCGGAGAACTAATTTCTCGTCTATTTCGTAGCTCATCTTTTGCCCGGCATCTTCCTCATCTTGGTCGGTTACGTCGGCTGCAGGTTGGTCCTCGCGAACGTGTTTCTGGTGCTCGCTCTGGGATTCAACGGAGCAGCGAGCATCTCCAATTTGTCCAACAATCAAGACCTATCGCCGAATTTTGCTGGATTTCTTTACGGCATAATGAACACGGTCGGTTGCACGTCCGGCATGATCATCTCCCCACTGGTCGAAGAGATAGCCGGTAAACACGGAGTGAGTACCGTCGTTTCCGCCTTTCTTGTTTCGCATGCATGCATCATATGCACCAGTATCGATACGTCTCTCTCGGTACCTGTGTCGATCGTCGATCGGTATTGCTACGCTTTTGGCACATTCGAAACCTCGGTGCCGCCTCGTACTCTGCTGTTCGACGCATAGTACGGGCAGTACTGGGAAGTCGCGTGTGCTATGCATCCAACACGAAACGCTTTCCAAACGATCCGAATAATTTCACCGTCGACCGCACGAGACCGTCACGCTTCTTCCACCGAGGAAGATCACATCCACTCCGCTTTTTCAACGCTCACGGCTCGCTCTTCCGCTTTTTGGTGCTCGTTCGCGAATCGAAAGTACCCGGGGCGGAACGGTGCGGAAGGCACCTGCTACAGCTGATCCAACGCACGCACGCACGCACGCACGCACACACACACACACACACACACACACACGCACGCACGCACGCAAGCATTCATCCGGATGACGATCTTGGCGGTGCTAATTCGTGGGTACTGATCGTTTCTATATCACATCGAAATCGAATGTATAGTACGATCTGTACCAACAAGTCACACCGTCAGCCGATCACCATCGCAGCAACGCAGCCTAACGCTCATCGTCGTCATCGTCGCGTTAACAGCAGCAGCAGCAGCAGCAGCAGCAGCAGCAGCAGCAGTAACAACAGTTGTATCGTGCATCGTCTGTCGTCACTGAAGCGATGATTATCGATGTAACGTATTTGTAACTGAACAGTTTTATCTCTGTTTTCCAGAATCCGATCGACAGATGGCAAATACTGTTCTGGATCGGTGCGGCCGTCTGCATATTCTGCATGATCGTCTTTCTACTCGGCGGGAGCGGAAACATTCAGAGTTGGAACGAGATCAGACAAGGAAGGGACGCGGAACGCGCAAGGAATTGACGGTGGTTGCGGTGGTGGTTTCTCCCGGTTCCAGAGAAAAGAAAACCAAAAAAGATGTTGACATTATTTTTAAACCGTTGAAACGACGTTGCGAGGATACGAAGTCAACGATGTAGATTGTAGACGATGAAAAATTACGAGTAGCGTACCGAACGTGATTTACCGCGATTCATTCAACCGCGCGATGTGGGACGAGTTCGACGTACACATCGAAAAATTATAGTACCAACACTAATAAGATGTTTTTAATGTCTAGAACGACGATATCGTAGAGATTGGATCGAAATCGAATTCTATATTTTATACAAGCCTGTTTAGAACACGCGCGCGCGTGCGTAACTGTCTGTTTCGTTTTATTAAAAATAAACTGATAGTTATCGTTTTGGGAGTGTTACTATTCTTCCTGGACGGACCGACCCTACAGAATTACGACGAATTTCGTTAGAAACGAATTCCGAGAATAGGTACGCCGGCGGTGAGTAGACGCACTGTGCTCGTAAAGAGTGCAACGATTACGTTCGATCTACTCGACTTCGATCTTATATAATCGGATCGCTGGATCGTGTTACACGGCGCGTAGCTTCGAATAAAAATTACTACGTAGAATATTATTACGCCGCGAATCGAGATAGGATCGTCGACATTCGTCGAGAACAGAACATAAATATCGTCGAACGTATCGTTCGCGCGAATTTTGGAAAACGGGATTGGGAGGGGCGATTTCCAAGTCGGCAGGTAGACTTTTCATGGTGATTCACTGGACACGGGACGATTCAAAATTCATGTATTTTATTCGAAACAATGATAATTTTCTCTGAATTTCACTCATACACACTCTCTCTCTCTCGGGCACGTCGCCTCACGGCGGCATCGACGTTTCAATCGACGCTTCGCCTGTCTCCTCGGTAAAATAAATTCGACTCGGCTCCAATATCTGGACTGGACACTGTTCGTGTAGGTACTCGGTGGTGGCTCGATGACACACGGGAAACGGGTAAACGTGCTTCACCCCCGATAAAGCAATAACCTTTGCGCGCACTTCATTCCGACCAAACCAGCGTATTGTTTGATCTCGTCCTCCTCCTCGTCCTCCTCCTCCTCTTCCTCCTCTTCTCTCACGACAGTCGCCCGATGAGCGGCGGCGGCAGCCGTCTTCTTCTTATAAATTTCATACGGCATCGCCACTTGCCGATACAATACCAACACCTCGAGAGGAAAAAAAGATCACGGTCATACGGCACGTCGCACGTAGAACGAACAGTAGTAGAGTAAGCGCGCGTTACCTTGTCAACGTCGACCACGCCGTCCTCGTCGATGGCATCGATGTCGTCGTTCAATCTGCTGTATTTTTGTTTGTCCAGCTTCGACAGAGACCGATCTATGTCGAACCAAGCGTAAGTTTCGGGACACAATAGGTACGACGGCCTCATTCGTGCCTTGTATCGCATTTTCGGACACGCGTGTATATAAAATCCCATGTAGTAATATTTCAAATCTTTCGCTACTTTGTTCAACTGCCTGGTCAAGTAAACCTCTCGAAGGGAACTGCGGGATGAAACGTAAAACGATCCTTTGAATAACTGCTCGTTCGTTCGCGCGCGATCGAAATTCGAACGTGCATTCGTCGTCGTCACCTGAACGTTCCCAGGGAAAGATGAGAGTAGGCCGGATCGTAAAAGAAATAAACGCTCGAGACACAAGATGGTAAAATGTCGATCACGCCGACCGCGATCAATTCGTCGTCCAGCCAATATTGTTCGTGAAACGAGCCGTACCCACTCGACGGTCCGTCGTCCGGTGTCCACGGCTTCGGCAAACGACAATCGTATTTATCATTCGCAAAAAAGGTTCCCCCACCTCCGATTACACAGGGTGTACAGGGTATACGCGCAGGGTCAGAGCCCAACAACGACAAATACAAAGTGTACCTGTAAAGAGCTCTTTACGAGGAAGTTGAAGAACGACACTTGGTCCGATTCCTTCTCCGACACGCAATGAACAGTCATTTGATACTTTTTAAAGAGGTCCGCGCTCACCTTCAAGGTTTTGATAAATTCGTCCGACATGGTTCGTACCAATCTCATCTAGCAAATTAAAACGCAGGAATACGAATAAGTAGTATTACGACGAAGGGACGCGCGCTAAAAGAACTGGTCTTCACGCATAGTCCACTACTACCTTCAATCTGCCGGTAGTTCCATCCGGGTAGACTTGATCGAACAATTCCTCGAAAGTCTTGGCACGATTCTCCCGAAGTTTATACTCGTCGAAAATCGCTTGGATCTCCTCCTCAGATTTTCCTTGCGCCAATAATTTATTCCGTTTCCGTTGCTTACGCAAAAGCTTTGCTTTCGCGCAGGACCGAGCAGCGACAGCAGTAGAATTCATTTCTACCGATCGCAAACTTTGTGGCGTACCGTTCGAATCGACGTCGTTCCGACTGGACGCGACGGCGACGACGGGTATCGGCTCGGAACCCGTCGCGCTCAGATTCGTTTCCGAGTAGCTGCAACTCTGTTCACCTCGACCTTCGTCGATCGTCATCGACCGGCCAGGACGTAATCTCGCGTTAACCTCGTCGTCTTTGGCGATCAATTTCACGTCTATCACGGAAATACTTTCTTCGCGCTTCGATCGTCCGCGATTCTTACCCGCGATTGTCAATGCCTTTCCGACGTCATCTGCGAACAGCGAGACGAGAAACGGTAACAGCAGTAATCGATCATCAGGAAAAGGTCGTAACAGACGATCATCGAACGGATCGAAGGACTTGCCCGTGGAGGTGCACTTTACCTATATCGTCTCCGCCGCGATCCTCTTCGAACGTATCCATCGTCAGATCGTTTTTATGCAATTCGTTCCGCAAAAACTTGCCCATTCTCTTCAGTATCTTCTTCTGCGATTTCGAGATTTGAAAGTGCAATGCTTTACACCTACGAAAAGCAACCGAACGTACCAACAACAATCATGCGTATACGTCGAGAGACGATTACCTCCTGCTGCTGCTGCTGCTGCTCGCTACTACTCCCTATCGTTGGAGAGAACGCGTAGGGAGGCAGGATCGTAATTAAACTTGGTCGTGACTTACTTGATGGTGTACATCGGGCAACACGTGCGATCCATGGTCGATTTGTAACAGTAAGAACCGCATCTCCTCCAACCTCTATCGACCAGAACTTGGTAATCTCGAACGGTCAGCGTGTGAGTTCCCATACCTACACGTTCAACGATTCAATCCCATCTGATCGGACAAGAGAAGAGAAGAGAAGAGAAGAGGAGAGGAGAGAAGACGAAGCGCGGAAAGGAATCGAACGATTCGACGCGGATAGACGCAGATGTACTTGCCATGACTGAAATTCGTATCCGGGCTCTTGCAATAACCGCATTTGTATCCGTCTTGTTCGCCGTAGTATTCGACGATACTGTACGATTGCCTCGCCATTTTATTACAATCTTCGATCGGATTCGCTCGCGACAACTATCGCGTACCTGCACGTACCTACTACTACTACGCGTATCGTATCTACCACAGCCGTCCTCGGATCTCGGAACCGTCCGTCCGTTACTCGTGACTCACCGCGTCGCCGCCGTGCAAGCACTCGTCCCCAGAGACGCTCGCTCGATGATACACTAAAAAGGCTGTCGACGACGGAGCGACGGTGGCCGACAGCGCTATCGCACTTATAAGTATTTACAGATTCGACTCCACGCCGCGGCAGCACATTTTACACGAGACGTAAACCACGCGAAACACGCAGTTCGGAGCGAGCGCAGCACTCTGCGCATTTCCTCTCTACTCACACGCGCACGTGTAACTTTCTCTCTGGTGTACGTGCATATATATATATATATATATATACACATATATATATATGTATATATATGTATGTACAATCGTGTTGACGAGTGAAAAGCGTGCGTCGATCGAAGCCACGAAGGCCAATGTGGCTGCCGAGTTGGGAATCTATCCCGCCGTTGCGTTTCCTCCGAGCGATCGTCCCTCGAGAATCGTTAATCATGTAAATCGAGATCGATCCCGAAGGGGAAAGACTAGACGGGACGGGTCATGCACCAGCAGCAGGGAGAAACGCACAGCAGAGAGAAAAATTGTTCACTCTGCGTATATTATAGTAACGTGATCGTCCTGTTTCGCTCGGACCGATCGATGTCGTAGTCGTGGACCAAATAAAAGACGATCGGATGAGTGGACTCGTCGTCTTCGTCGTCGTCTCGTAAGTATCCGCATAGAGAAGAATAGGTCGCTGTACACTCTCCAGCGAAAGGATCGATGAAGCTCGACGTCACGCAGAAGGAACGTTTCGCAAGGGTTTCGGCTGCTGTTGAGTCTCGAACGAAGGACGATGCGTCGCGTAGGCGTCGGACAATCGAACGCGGTGTTTCCGTTCGTTTCTCGCAAGAACGAACCTGGAGACCACCCCCATGGTCCTCATGGAGAAAACGCGCGTACGCGGAACGAAACCGGCAGCTGGACGAGTCAGATCGATGAGATCGAGTCTCTCGTTCGACTTACTATGCGAGCCGATCAAGAACCCTCGGACGGAAGATCGGACGATTCGTTAAAGAACGGTTAGCAGCTACTCGGGCATACGTGTACACGGCGTAAACGCAGAATCATCGTTTCGCTCCTAACCATCCCCGTAAAATTTTCTTTTTTCATTCCTCGCCTACGTACGTAGGACAGAGTGCGCACATGTACTACATGTGTATATTCTCCGTGTGGAAAACGTAGGAGCGTGGGCGTCTGGATGCTCGTGGGTGTCTGCCTGTTGCGATGGTCGAAGAGAAGAAGCGTGGGGTGGTCGTGACGTACGCGAATCGAGCCCATCGTCGCGTATCGCTGGTCGTTACAAACGCGGACAAGTAAGTATTACACCTTATACGGAACAGATTTCGAGGACGAGGAGAAAGAGTGATTCGGAAACGACGTGTAAGCTTAGAAACGACGATGCGACGTCGCGATCAACGGAAAGAAGACGAACGAGAGAAGAATCGTCGTCGTAGCGGGGTCATCGCGCGCGTGGGCAGACGTATTTCCCAGTGCGCGTGTAAATCGTCGTCGTCGTCGTTGTCGTCGTACGTACCTTGCACACACACACACACGGAGTACATATTACGTCGGCTCACCTCGCGGGGCGAGCCTCGACGATAGCAGTTACCCTCTCGGCCGAGTAGGGGTGGTAGGGGTGCGCTTCGTTCATCGAGGTGGAGGTGGTTGATCGACCGTACCCTCCGTCTCCGCCGGTTTCACCAGTCGTCCTGCTCAAAGCACGCAGTCGACACGGATCGCCGGCACGCTCATTCTACTTCGACCAGTCGAACTCCGAGGTGGTTTCCCGCGGCGGCTGTATCTTCATCACGGACGAGACGGCAGAGTGACGTACAAAGACGACTCACTCGATTCGTCGAAGATCCGAATAATACCACAGATAGGAAGAGAGAGAGAGAGAGTGATAAAGAGAGACAGGGGGAGAGAACGTTAGTACGTACTACGGGATCGTGAGAAACGAGAAGAAACTTTTCGCTCGCTCACGTCAGAGTTCTCCGCGTCGAAATTCCGCGTCGGAATTAGCGCGGCGAGCGCGGATCGATTTCGATCGATTTCAATTTGGCCCGACGAGGGACGGCTAAAATCGTTTGAATAGAAATCGAATAGAAAAGGTAAGAACACCGTGTTACCGTTCTCGGTCTGTAACTGAAAAACGATTCTCGTCCGTTGCGCGAGCAACGCGTAGTACACCATGCACGGGCAGCAACGGAAGCTGTGGTCGTCCGGTCGCGCGCGAGCCCGGAATCCTAGAAATCTCATGGGAGAGACCGACGAACGAATCGACCAACGATACGAGTCTCGACGTTCGAACGTACATCTACCCTCGGCTCTCGCTTTTGAACCGAACGGTTAACTCCGCCGCCTGTAATTCGTTCAAGGATTCCGACGCGCCGAACGAACCGCGCGCGCGAGCCTGGATTCGTCAATGAAAACGCGATGAATGAAATGTATTTTTAATTGCAAGCTGTACGCGGAGAAAGAGTAAGAAAGAGAGGTAGGCAGGGAGGGAGTGAGTCAGAGATACGCGTATACAAACGCGACAAACGACTATAGCATTTCAAGACGCAACAAGTGTGCGATTTCTGGGTCTATTACGAATCCGGTTCGGCTTCCGCACTTCCTGGCCCGACCGCGTCTTTAATCGCGAACATCATCGGGATCGCGGCACCAGACGAGACGGAGCTCGACTTCCGCGTAACGTCCGTCGAAACACGGTATCGGTAAACGAAAACAGACCTCGAACAGATCGAGACGATCGAACGTTTACGAAGAGTGCCGCGCGAACGTCCTTTTAAACGTCCGCAACCGTTCGAAGACATCGCGCTGCTCTTTGAGACGAAAAAAAGAGTCTCACGACTCACGGCAAAGGCGATCGCCGCCCGCCGTACAACGAGTCGAACGCCGCGAACCAAGTCCGACGTGGATCTTTTCCGACGCGGAATGGAAATAGATTCTTGACATTTCGCGTCACGCGACATTTAGGTAAGTAAAGCTCGTCTCCGCCGCAGTCGCACACGCGGAGAACATCGCTCTCGAGCTCAGGGAGCCACGGTGCGCGGCGCTCAAGAGAACACTCGGGACGCGGGACACCGGTGACGCGCGACGCAGTAAAGCGTACATACAGACGTGTACGAAGTACGACACTCGACTCTTTCAGGCGCGAATCGCGCGGGCGTTCGAGTTCGCGCTTATGCAGCAGTTTCTCTCTGAAACGTTCGACGAAAACGTTTCCACCTCTGGTTGCAGACTGCCAGACGATGCGCCGCTGTTGGGTATTGTTGTTAGCATCGTGCACCGTCTTCGCCGTAGCCCGATGTCTGTCGACGAATCCAGTGGAAGTGGCGAACAACAGCGAAGAGACCGCAGGTAGACGAGCGAAACGTAAGCGATCATCATCATCATCATCATCATCAGCAGCAGCTGGTTCAGCGCATCGATCGCGCTCGCGTTTTTTAACGTAAGCATCTGTTTCTATCTCGCGCAGCTAAACGAGCACAAGAAACGTCGACGTTTGGAGACCAACAACAGAATCTGCAACCGCAGGAGAGCAGCAGCTCGAGCGCATCTCACTCGTCGTCCCCGAACGCGGACACAAGTAAGCGACAAATCTTCTTTCCGCCGCGCGTTCTGCGTACGTTCGTAACGTAACGAGACGCCGTCACGTCACGTAAAACGTAGGGAATTCAAGCTCCGTCGCGACGGTGGCATCAGGACTCGGCGAACTGAAAACAGTCCTGGCGGAAGAAGGGAGATCTCCTCGTTCGGGGCAGCAGCAGCAGCAACAGCAACAGCAACAGCAACAGCAACAGCAACAGCAACAACAACAACAACAACAACAACAACGACGACGACGACAACGACAACGACAACAGCAACAACAGCAGCTGCACGACACCGATCCCTTCTCACCGTACATCAAGGACGACATTTACGAGTGAGTATAACCGCAGCAGTGATCCAAGTCGAGCAGCAGCACGAATCACTCTCGTTTCGTCTCGATTCCCAGCTACGGTAAAGCATCGACGAACGAACTGACAAACGATCGATCGCCGCCGCTTCCTCGTGCCTGGGACGCGCCTCCTTATTCTCATTACCACGACGACGTCGACGAGAATCGCAGGAAGAGATCTGAAAAATCTATGGTCATCGGCGGCGGATCTGGTCGTCGATCGATCGCGAAACCATCGATCGGTTCTCGTCGGTATCCGACGTATCCGACGGCCACACTACTTCAGTCGGCGCAGCTCCAAACGAAGAGAAGGTAACCACCAGCACCACGACTCTGTACAGCCGCGGTGCCGAGTCAAGCCCGTCCGATCTTTTTTTCCTCGCGGATGCTCGATACTCGTCGAACACCGAATTTGCTGCATAACATTCCGCGTTCACGCGGCCAGTCTAACGACGCTCAGACGGGGACATTCCTCCGTTGTTACATCGTACGCACGTCGAACATACGTCGTACATTCGATCGATCCTTTCGTACAGGGCGACCGGGGTACGCGGAGGTGCAGAGCACCTCGCGTCCAACTCTTATTTATACACGCTCGGAGCCACAAGTGTCCACTGCCGGCCGGCCGGTACGCGACGCGACGTCGATCGGTCGAGATAAACGTGGCGACGGGTGAACGCGCTCGAAAGAAGTACGCACGATCTCGATCTCGAGGAAACGTGCGGTTCGGCATCGGCCGCAAACGAGAGCGCGAACTTTTTCGGCGAACGACTCGCCGACGGCATCGTTCGAGCGAAGATGTTCGAGATTCGCGGTAAGCGTGGCGTTCGTCGAAACACGGGGAAGAATCTCGGGGGTAGTTCGCAGCAACGGTTCTCCGACAAAGACCGAGTTCGCGTCTCGGGGCGCGCGCGGGCGTGCAATCCGTCGTTCCACGTAAACGTCCGTGCAGGCACCGTACGCGAACGTGGTACATACATACCGAGTCATACACACAGACATACGTACGCGAGCACGTACGCCCACGCGCCGCGTCGCTATGCGGCACCGCGCGCAGTGAACGGGCGGCGTTCGATAAACGTGACGCAATAGGGTAGGTTTCCGTGGAGGTAGTGGATTCAAGAATGGAACTGAATGGAACTAGTCGTCGCGGAGGACGAAAGTAGGTCAGGCTCGCTCGCCCGTTCGAGTGACGTAAACGCACGGGTACTACGTACGTTCTTGAGGCACAGTACGTACACCACGTATACCACGCAAGTAGCTATCGGGCCGCCAGGTCAGGCATCGCGAAACGGTCAGGGCTGGACCCGATCGGTCGACAGACCGATCGACGGACGGTGGACGAGTATCGAGGAGCATTCGGTGGACAAAGCACGACGGAATCGTTAAACTACATGAATGCGACTCGTCGATACAGCGTTCCCATTTATCAAGAACCGCGGTTCAAGAGGGAGCTGGACGTCGATCCCGAGGACGTTCTGACTCTACTCTCCCTGTGGGAAAATCAGCGTTACCGTAAACGGTAAGTGGCGAGAGAGCGAGGGCGGTCGAGGAGACGGTGGAGACGGCGATCGTTTGGTAATCGATCGTCTCGACAGACGGGGACAATCGCGACACGCCGTAAGCACACGCGCGTACATCTGTAAAATATTTTTCGACAGAAACTGGCGCAAGAACGTGTACGAGGAGTACGATAACGCGGCAGCGGCGGACGACGACGACGAAGAAGAAGAGAATCTTCCGCAGGAGGGGGAAAATCCGCGAAACGGTAAGTACGCACACGCGTGGAAAAGAGAGAAACACGGAGCGTACGGCTAACAAAAGCGACAAGAAGAATAACGATTCGTGCGTCCCGTTGGAAGCAGTAATCTCGTGGATGGACTCGCCGATGTATCTCCCTCGCAGTCAGGGCGTACCAGCCAACATCGGTATCCTTCGCACTCATCCGTTCGGTCACTACTACGACCGGTACGACGACGACGCCAACGACAACGACGACGAGGACGACGACGAGGACGAGGACGAGGACGAGGACGACGACGAGGAGGAGGCCGAGAACGACCATCGATACGGACAGCAACGGTACGAGGCTTCCAGGCACGCCGACGGAGCTCGATACGGGCTCGTTCATCCCTACCAACGAACGTACTACGAGACGACTCCGGCGAAAAGGTGGACGCTTCGGAGGAAGCGGTCAGTGCAGGTGGGCCGCTACCGATCGCACACGCGACGCGGAAGACCGTCTATCGGTGACGATTCTGGAACCGGTTCTCTGTTTTCGCAGATCTACGACCCGTACGCCGGCGGCGCGACTCAATCTCAAGCGAACCCACGATCGCGCGGTCATCTGTATCATCAGCGTTCGTTCTACTAGAGAAGAAGAATCTCCGGCGGTGAGGTTCTCGGCGAAGAGCACGCACGGATCGACCGGTCGCGCGCGCTTCGCGAAGGTCGAACGGCAAAGAATCGACGAGGACGCGCAACGGGAAGCATCTCGGCGAACGTCTCCTCTTCGACTCGTCGTCTCGGCGATCCGATCCTCCGTACACGAGGCACGCACACAGACACAGACACAGACCGAAAGACAGAGAAAACGTACGTACGCGGGGGAGACACAGGCAGAGAGATCGGTGGAGAAGAGAACCAAGGCGAATCGCCGGGGCCGCGAGCGACGGTGCGCGTATCGACAGACGCACCAGCAGCTCGTACGCTTCCGGTCGTGCGGAAACCCCTGGACACCGCGCGGGCGCGCTCACGCGTTCGAAGACTCGGCAGAGACCGTAGACAGGGGAAAAAGGCGTAACGAATCGCGCCGATCGGCACCACTGCGATTTGCTTTCCGGGCGTTTATTGAACACTGGCGTACCGACAGTTTAGAAATCTCGAACGATAGACAAAACGACGATCATTTACAATATCGATCCGCTTTCATTTTACTTCGTCTGTCTAATAAAGCTTCATGCAAATTTCCTCGCTGTTTCGCCCGTTGTAACCTCGAACGATCCTCTCGGCTGACTCTCAACTTCTTGTCTTGGAACTTTTGAAACTTTTTACTGAAAGAAGAAGAAGACAAAGGTAAGGAAGGTGGAAACGAACGCGGGAAACGGAAAGCACGGTCCGAGGGCGCAGAGAGGGCCCCCAGTCGGGCGACTCACACATAATTGACTTCGACGTCGCGGAGCGATCCCCGTTCCTCGGTGGGGACGCGTTCGTCGGGGTCGGCGGTCTTGCGGGCGACGCTCCTGACGGTACAGAACTCGGACGAGCCAGCAGTGGCACTCCGGCAAACGACGTCATCGTCGGCGGTGACCGACACGAAACGATCGTTACTGCCGTTGAGGACAGCGAGCCGGTCGTCCTGGAGGAGAGAAAATTCAGAGGGTAAACGAGGGGGAGGGGGAGGGGGGTTACGCGAGACGCGAGCGACGAAGCGGACCTGAAAGACGGGTTCCCACTGTTCGACGACGCCTACCGCGTCGCTGCGTCCGACGACGACACCGTTCTTGTCGACGCCCAAGTACTTTCCGTAACCAGACTTGAAGGCGACCTTGCCGGCGTCGCCTATGGGAAAAGCCGTGAGAATCTCTTCGGGGGAAGGTCCCTCGCCGTGCGGGTGCGGCGCGCCCAAAGTGAACAATCCATTGTCGAGAGCCTTGACGTAGACTCGCGTTCCAAACTCGACGGCCACCGTTCCCGTGACCTCGGACACTCGCGTAGCTCTCCACCAGCCACCTACAGACGAATCGGACAGGTATCAACAACGGCGCAGGAAGAAGAAGAAGACACGGACGTCGCGGGCGACGTCTCGAGCCCGGGCGGGAAGGGGCGAAAAATACCGTGAGCAAGGGTATCGTCGTGTCCCGCGACGACGACGCTCTCTTCCCGGTCCTTCTTCTCGCGTCTCCTCTTTTTGGCCCTGGAAACGATCAAGACACAGAGACAGAGAGAGAGAGAGAGAGAAGGCAGAAGTGGAAAAATCGGAGGACCGACGCGAACGCGAAGCGGGCAGACGGCGGCGGAGGACGAGTACTCACTTCTTGGCGTGACCCTTGAGAACGAGTCTGCCAGTCCTGACTCGATCGTACTCGGACATGCCGCGCGGGGCGACGGAGAAGACGGGCGGACTCCGGACGAAGAGGAAACGACGTCGCGTCCTCGGCAGGGGTCTCTCGCCGTAGGTTCGTCGGATCGATCGGTGGCGGTGGCAGAAGGAAGAGCGGGAAGAACGACGACTCGGGCAAAGTAAAACGCGAACGAACGCGAACGAAGGCGAACACAGGGAGCGCGACTGTCGTGCCGCGGACGGAGCGCGACGGACACGAACGACGCGCGACACGAGAAGAGGTCTCGGACGCGAACGTTTCACTCGCCTGGCAGCCACGGCACTCGCAGCGTCGCCACAGTACAGCGAACGGCAGTCGTGGGGATCGGACGAGCAACTACACGCGTTCTCGGTTCGAAGACTTTATTCCGTAGCGCGATCGTCCCATCGAGGGCGCTCTCCGCGTGCATTTATGGAGTCGTGTTTCTCTCAGGTAATAAAGGCGGGAAGTGAGTAACGATAACTATATATATTTATCTCAGTCTTTTGCGTAAAGTACAGAAAAGGCCAGAGCTGTGAGGCTATAAAATACTGGAGCTCGTATCGCGGTACTCGTGTCTAGGGACTAACGATCGTTTTCGAGGGCGGCGCTGACGTTGGGTTCCGTCGGTAATAGCGGGCATTCGCTGCGGCTGAGCTGCCACACATTCCAAGTCCGAGAGCACATTGGTACGGGCTGTATTTCAGGTAAACGTCCCTAGACCGGTAAGGCCGGGTGGAGAACTCTCTAGGCTGGGAACGAACCAGGCATCGCATATTTTCGTTCGGTCGGCCGGAAAGCGGGGACGACGCGACGACGGGGGGGACCGGTACGT